TCTTCCTTCCTTCCTTCCTTTCTTTCTTCCTTCCTTCCTTACTTTCTTTTTTCTTTCTTTCTTTTTTCTTTCTTTCTTTTTTTCTTTCTTTTTTTCCTTCCTTCCTTCCTTCCTTCCTTCCTTTCTTTCTTTCTTTCTTTCTTTCTTTCTTTCTTTCTTTCTTTCTTTCTTTCTTTCTTTCTTTCTTTCTTTCCAACTCATTGCTATTTGCCACACCGAGAGCGAAATAAAGAACTGAAAAAAAACAAAAACGTCTTTGGCTGTAATTTCTCGCCCGGGCGAACTTTTGGCTCGGCATCGGCTTCTCACAGCGAAAGATATTCCCGTGGGAATTTCTTCTGGTGGTTCGGACCTGAAATTCGGGGCAAGAGAATTCGGAGGGTCGGGAATTAAATGAGGAGTCGCTCCAGAGAAAAGAGAAGGATTTCATTCGTTCAAGGCGTCATCCCAAGCCGGTGGGCCGAACCTGTTTTGTATGGATTTTATCAGAATAAATATATCAACGGTATATTAGGAAAGAGAAAGAAGGGGAAAGAAAGAAAGAAAGAAAGAAAGAAAGAAGGAAAGAAAAAAGAAAGAAAGAGAGAAAGAAAGAAAAAAGAAAGAAAGAGAAAGGAAAGAAAGAAGAGAAGAGCATTGGTGTGGATTTAGAAGCTGGGTTTTCTTGAAGAAATGGATTCCCTTTTTTAGCAGAAGGACTGGTCATATGCCTCTCTTGGGGAGGGGGTGCTTGAGGGGGTGTAAAAATAGACTTCTCTTTCTCAATTTCATTGACCAGAATGAAGCATTTTGTTTTGATGCCAAAGATGGCGGGGAGGGGGGGGGAATATGTTTTTTTTGGCCTGGTGAATTTTATACCCGTGGTTGGCGAAAGTTAGAATGACCTTTTGAAAGTGTGACTTGAAATTGGGCAGAGAGAGAGGATGGATGGGAGGGAGGGAGGGAGGGAGGGAGGGAGGGAGGGAGGGCAATGGAGGAAGGGAGGGAGAAAAAGGGAGGGAGGGAGAACAGAAAAGAGGGAGGGAAGAAGGAAGGAAGGAAAGAAAGAAAAGAAGAAAAAGAAGAAGGAAGGAAGGAGGGAAAGGAGAGAGGGAGGGAGGAAGAGGGAGAGAGGGAGAACAGAAAAGAGGGAGGGAAGAAGGAAGGAAGGAAAGAAAGAAAAGAGGAAGAAAAAGAAGAAGGAAGGAAGGAGGGAAAGGAGAGAGGGAGGGAGGAAGAGGGAGAGAGGGAGAACAGAAAAGAGGGAGGGAAGAAGGAAGGAAAGAAAGAAAAGAGGAAGAAAAAGAAGAAGGAAGGAAGGAGGGAAAGGAGAGAGGGAGGGAGGAAGAGGGAGAGAGGGAGAACAGAAAAGAGGGAGGGAAGAAGGAAGGAAGGAAAGAAAGAAAAGAAGAAAAAGAAGAAGGAAGGAAGGAGGGAAAGGAGAGAGGGAGGGAGGAAGAGGGAGAGAGGGAGAACAGAAAAGAGGGAGGGAAGAAGGAAGGAAAGAAAGAAAGGAAGAAAAAGAGAAGGAAGGAAGGAGGGTAGGGAAAGAAGGAGGGAGGGGGAGGGGAGTGTCAGAACAGACTGGTTTGTCTCTCCAAACTGGTTTGGCCAAATAGAGAAGGTCGCCCAGGCCCTGGCGGGAGCCCCCTCCTTACTTCTCTCGGGTGCCCGTTTGCATATCCCCCCTCGTCTCCCCCCCCCACCAGTCTTTTGTTTCCAACCAATTGATTGTGCTTCTTTGGTCCAGAAAGAGTCATTATGCTTCCATCAGGGACAGCCCACCTCACACTTAGGGAGGGGGGGGGGGTTTGCCTTTTCCTTCCAGGACCCTCCCTTCTTATTCCACCTGAACCAAAGTCTGGAAAAAAATACCCGTCCCTTGCCTTTTGCCTTTCTTTTTCCTTTCTCCCTTTCTCCTTCCTTTCTTTTTTCCTTTCCTCCTCTTCCCTTTCCTCCCCCTTTTTCCTCATCTCTCCTTTTTCTTTGATACCTCTTTTCTTTCTCTCTTGCTTTCCTTTCCAAATTTCCTTTCCCATCTTCCTCCCTTTATCTCCTTCCCCTCCCCTTCCTTTCTTTCGCCTCTCTCCGTTTCCTTTTTCCTTACTTTCCCTTTCTTTTTTCCCTTCCTTCCCTTTACCCTTCCTCCCTCCTCTTCCCCTTCCTTCCTTTTTTCCTTCCACCTTTCTACCTTCCTTCCTTCCTTCCACCTTTCTACCTTCTTTCTTTCCTTCTTTCCTTCCTTCCACCTTTCTATCTTCCTTCCACCTTTCTACCTTCCTTCCTTCCTTCCTTCCTTCCACCTTTCTACCTTTCCTTTTCCTTTCCTTTCCCTTTCCCTTTGTTCCGACTTCATCTAAAAATCGCTGGCCAGGGCGGCGGGGGGGGGGGCAGTCATTATTTAAAAGGGATCGTTCTCGGCTCTTCCAATTTACCAGCGGCTCTTATTTAAAAGAAAGGAAAAGGGTTACTAAATCCAGATTACGCCAGGGGAAAACGCCGCCTGCTCACTGGCTGTAGGCAAACAGAGACTTTTGACTTTTATTTCGTTTCATTTCACCCGGGGGGGGGGCGGGTATGTGCGCGTGCGCGCGCGTTATTTTCTTCCTCTAAATTCCTAACTTTTTCCTTCTTTTCCTTTCTTTTCCAAGAAGTCCACCGGGGCAGGGGAAAAGGAACCCGCGGGGCTTTCTCAGCACGCCTTCTCCCCCCTTACCCGCCCCCCAACACACTTCCAATGTTGTCCTACAAATAGGAGGGGGCGGGAAGACAGAGTCCTCTTCAGTGTCGGACTCAATCAGGGCTATGTACTCACTTCGGTTTTCGGAGAAGCAACCCTCCCACTTCTGCGAGGGGGGGGGAGAGGACGGAAAAAGAAAGAAAGGAGAGGGAGAACCTTATAAATTCATCTCTCCTGTTCCCCCCCCCCCAGCGCACCTAGCATGACAAAGGCAAGGAGGGTGGAAAAAAAAAACATACCCAACTCCATTCCTAAATTTCTAGGCAACCGCCCGCACGAGCCCAAATTCCCAGTCCCTGCGTCGTGGTCTTCCCCCTCCCCGCCACTCCCACGCCCCCCCCCACGGGACAGGGGTGGTGGGAGGGGGGGGAGAGAAATGCAATCCGGGCTAGCAAACTCTGGAATCAACTGGAAAATGGGAGAGCGCCTGGCCAAGGTTGAGAGGCATTTCCCGACGGCGCGCGTTGCACCGGGGAGGGGGGGAACCCTTTTTTTATACTTCGGGGGAAAAAGCAGGCGGCGGCGGGGAGGGGCGTCTCCACGGCGGCAAAGGGGTGTCAAAACACGGGAGAGCCGGCGAATAAGACCCCCTTAGTCCTCGGCCTGCCCCGTAATTTCGTCCTTGCGTTCCGCCTCTCACGCCTATAATATTCCTGGAGTCGATTTGATAGAGAATTGGTGTAGAATTGGTAACGCTCTCGCGCGCGAACGGAGGTACGAGTGAACGCGACTCGCTAGAAAACAACACCCTTCTCCCCCCCCCATTAAATTGAAGGGTACCTGGGCTTGTTTGTTCGGAAATGTTCTGCAGGTTTTAAGGGTATCCGGTTCGGTTCGTTCTGAGGTCCAATGGCGAGCTAATTTTGCCTCAGAGGTTTTCTTTCTTTCTTTCTTTCTTTCTTTCTTTCTTTCTTTCTTTCTTTCTTTCTTTCTTTCTTTCTTTCTTTCTTTCTTTCTCTTTCCCGTTTCCTTCCTTCCCTCCCTTCTTTCTTTACTTTCTTACTTTCTTGTTTTTACTTTCCTTCCTTCCCTCTTTCCCTCCTTCCTTCTCTTTCTTTCTTTCTTTCTCTTTTTCTTTCCTTCCTTCCCTCCCTTCCTTCCCTCTTTCTTTCTTTCTTTCTCTTTCTCTTTCCTTCCTTCCCTGTTTCCTTCTTTCTCTTTCTTTCTTTCTCTATCTTTTTCTTTGCTCCTTTCTTCCCTCCCTTCCCTTTTTCTTTCTCTTTCTCTTTCCTTCCTTCCTTCCCTTCTTTCTTTACTTTCTTACTTTTATTTTTACTTTCCTTCCTTCCTTTCCTCTTTCCCTCCTTCCTTCTCTTTCTTTCTTTCTCTATCTTTTTATTTCCTTCCTTCCTTCCCTCCCTTCCTTCCCTTTCTCTTTCTCTCTCTCTCTCTCTTTTTCTTTCTTTCTCTCTTTCTTTCTTTCAACTCTTCCTTACTTTTGGCACGCCTCCGTTCCTTCCCCCTCGTCTCTGCCATTCCCGAGGTGAGGAATGAGAGAAACCACAGGTGAGGTTGCGGATGAAGAGAAATCCTCTTCATCGCGCCCCCTTCTCTTTGGACACCCGGACGGTTCTTTGGGGTGGGGGGTGGGGGGGCGGGCGGGCGTCAATTCAAGGGATTCCCCAAATCCCAGCCCCTTCCTTTCTCCACGCCACATTCCCGTCCACACCTAACGCACACCAAGCAGGCCCGGCGCCCAGGAGGAAACCGGGCAATGTTTCCAAGGCTGCGGTGGTCTCCCAGCGCGGGTCTCTCCCCTCTTACTCCCCCCCCCAGGGAAGGCAAACCGGAGCGACCCCGACGGGGGATGCGTGGGAGAGCCCCCCTGTCTCCGTCCCCACCTGATGCTTTGAGGGGGTTCTTTGGCGGAAGGGGCAGGGGTCTTCTTTGCCTCCGGTGTGCGTGGGGGGGGAAGAGGCGCCCCCCCCGAGCCCATCTTCCCACCCTCCCCTCTTCCCACCCGCCCGTCCTGGCCCAACCGAGTTGCGCCCCCGCCCGGCCCCGCCAGCGCGCCCAGGTCGGGCAGGCACAACTACTCACGGACGGCCTCGGCGCGTCAGGTGCGAATCTCGCCCCTCCACAATGGAGCTGCCTCCTTTTTTTCCCCCTCTGTGCCAAGCGCCGGGCTGGAGCCAATTTAGATATGCTATAAATTAAGAGGTTGCCATGGCCACCGGCTCGCCATTGGCCGCCGCCCGCCCGACGTGGCGCCCCACGTCACCAAATCTGAATAAGGGTGCGCGAATTACTAAAGCCCGAAGACAAAGCTGGGCGATGGGAGCAGCGCAAAAGTGGAAGCCAGTCCCGGCCAGCCAGCGGCGCGCCGGCGAAGGAGGAGGGCACCGGCCGAGGACCACCGCCGCGCCGGGGCCTTGCCAGCCACCTCCCAGCCCCGCCGCCCCGGGGGACGCCCGGCCCGCTATGCCGCGCTGAAGCCCCCCGGGAAGCCCACCCAGGCCCAGGCCAGCGCCCGGGAGACGGAGGGGCCGAGCCGCGCAACCCGAGAGCGCCCAGAGGGAGAGCAGGAGGAGGAGGAGGAGGAGGAAGAAGAGGAGGCGGCGGCGGCGGCGGCCGCGGGCGGCGCAGCGGAGCGGCTGGGCGGCGCGGCCACCCCCCCTGTCCGGCCGCGGCGATGATGGTGCATTGCGCCGGGTGCGAGCGACCCATCCTGGACCGCTTCTTGCTCAACGTCCTGGACCGGGCCTGGCACATCAAGTGTGTGCAGTGCTGCGAGTGCAAATGCAACCTCACCGAGAAATGCTTCTCGCGGGAAGGCAAGCTCTACTGCAAGAACGACTTTTTCAGGTGAGGGGGGGGGTGTCTCCTCTTCACCCCCACCCATCCACCCACCCCGCCGATCGTCTCGGCTGCTTCCCCCGGCCTTCTTTTCCCTTTGAGCACCCCCAAGGAGGATTGCGTCCCCTCCCCCCGCTCCGGCCTTCTCCTCGCTGCGTGTCTTACTCTCTTAGGAGCCAGGTGCCCCTTCCTCCCCCCCCCCCCCGCTGACACCCTTCCCTCCTCGGGCCTCGATTTACCTCCTGTCAAGCTGGAAATGTCTCGCCTGCGTCCTCCGAGGCTGTGGCACCCGGATCCTTACCCGGAGGATGCTCCGAAGCAGCTTTGGGCAGCCAAATCTAACGCGGTGGCCTCTGGAGGGGCGGGGGGGTGGAGGAGGGGGGTCTGAGGAGGAAAAAAAAAGAAAAGAAAGGGGATTTACCTGGGGGGAAAGCTTAGGAGGAATGTGGCCCCTTTCCCAGGTGGTTCGCTGGGGCTTGCCACGCTGGCTTAGGAAGGCGTAAATTCCGCTGGATCCGATCGCGTTGGCCTCCCCGGTATCTCTGGATTTGCCATGCCCAAACGAGAGAGGGAGAGCGAGAAAGAGAGGGAGGGAGGGAGGGAGGGAGGGAAAGAGAGAAAGAGATAGGGAAAGAGGGAGGGGGAGAGAAAGAGAGGAGAGAAAGAGAGAGAGGGAGGGAGAGAGAGAGAGAGAGAGAGGGAGGGAGGGAAGGAGGGAGTTAGTCTATTTATACTATTATTACGAGATTACTCGACGGCAGAGGTTAAAACCAGGAGCATCCCTGCCACCTCAGCCCATATCTCCTTCCGCTCGTGAACCGGGACAACCAGGTTTGGCCAAACGGGGCCAAGCGAAAGGAAGAGAACACCTTTTCCTCCTCTCTCTCCCCCTCCCCCGCTTCCACACTTCCCGGGCCCGGCTGCCGGCGAGGCTACACCTGGCCCACTCGGCACCTTCCCTTCGGAGACGCGCGCAGCCTGAATTGGTTTCCTCTCGCCAAGGCTGGCAGGCTGACTCGCCGGTCCGTTCATCCCTCAAGGCTCAAGGGTGGGTGGGGGGCTTAGGAGCAGCCAAAGCTCTTAATTTAGGGAATTACGAGAGAGAGGGGGGGAGACAGATGAAAGAGGGAGAGAGAGAGAGAGGGAGAGGGAGGGAGGGAGAGAGAGAGAGAGAGAGATGGAGATGGAGAGAGAAAGAGGGAGGGAGAGAGAGAGAGATGGAGAGAGAGAGAGAGAGAGAGAGAGAGAGAGAGAGGGATGGAGATGGAGAGGCCGTCGTCGCTTCCCGCTGCGAGGTTATTCTTTTCTCCCACTGGCCTCACCTGCCTGCTTAATAACACGCGCGCGTTCCCCACTCCTTTCCCACTCGTGCAACGGAGGGGCCAGTGCACACAGGCCCCAAACTGTTGGGGTTTTTTTGTTTTTTGTTTTACCCCCACCCCGAGGACTCTTCTTGATATGAACGGGACCCCTTCCTCAGGAAGGTGTGCAACCGTAAAGATTGGGGGGGCGGCGTGTGTGTGTGTGTGTGTGTGTGTGTGTGTGTGTGTGTGTGTGTGTGTAAAGGAACCTTCTCCCGCGCCTACTTCTACAAATCTGTGGGGAGTGGGTGGGGATGGGGGAAAGTGGGGAAGGCCATTTGATTGTATTATTGTATTTTATTTTACTTTATTTTTTTTTAAAGCCGCTCCTGTGAAAAGAGGCTCTCTGGGGTTTTTTCAGCGCGCGCGCGCGGGGGGGGGGACCCCTGATTATAGATATGGTAATGAAGGCCCACGTCCTAATTGAAGGGGCCGGCTCGGAGGGCGAGCGGCTTTTCTTACTTAAATGCGTTTTGTTTTGCCAACAGCAGTCGAGAAAGAGAGAGGGGTGGGAGTGGGGGGGGCAATCGGCCGCTCCCTTTCCCCCCCCAACGACGCTGCAGTGAGACTCAGCCCAGCCGGAGGGGACGAACGTGGCCCACCCGCATTCTGCTTTTTGTTTTCGGAAGACAAACACCTTACACCACTTCACACACCCCCCCCAATCGCTACAATCCACAATTAAAGCCCATTTAAAAATGCAAAAGCCAAGCCTTTAGCGTTTTGGACTGTAATTGAGGTAACCCCCCCCCCCCGTTTAAGGGTGAGGAGCACGAAGATAGGGTGGGTGGGGGGCGAGCAAGGGGAGGGGGGGAATGCTGAGATCCGCGGGTGTTTGGGCCCCGGGCGGCGGCATATGAATAAGAGGAGGTTAAGCTGGCTTTGCACATGTAAACGGGCTCTAAGGACCATTCCGAATTCTTGGAACATCCCCCCCACACCCCCAATCTCCCTATATGTCTCTCCCTCCCCTTAAAAACCCCGTAAACGGCAGGGATCAAGGGCAAATAAGATGCAGACGGCTGTATTTCTCTTTTTTTTCCTTTTTGCCCATTTTTTTTAAACGTGCGGCCTGTATTTTTATTTTTTAATTTTAGGTAAAGGAAAAGATGCTTGATTTTGCGTATGTGTGTGTGTGGGGGGGGACAAATAGAGAGCCTGGATTTCCGCTTCTAGCTTTTGAGGATTGCTTTATATCCCCAGATCCGAGCGAGCAAACGAACAAGCCAAAAGACACCTCCGGGATTTTTTTATTTAAAAAAAAAACGGAATAAAATAAAATCTGCGCAGACTTCGGGTTTTTTTTTGTTTTGTTTTTTGTTTTGCGTTTTAGACGAAGAGAAGCGGGAGAGAAAAACGAATTTCTACCCAGGCTGCAGAAAACAACCTTCTTTTTTTTAAAAAAAAAAAAATGACACCACCACCCCCCAGTGAAAACCACAGGTCCAAAATGGGGTGCCTTTCTCGAGGAACCAGATCCGAATCCAGCCAGACGGATTATCAATGATTTTTTAAATGCAGAAGCGGGGGGGGGGAGTAAAATTTTGAGAAGCAAAGCGCCTTTTCGCCTCGGCTTCCTCGCGGAGCGCTTTCCTCTTGGATCAGGCCCCTTTCTAAAGAGGATTAAGCCCTTTTTCGTTATCGTTTATACATTAATGTTGCAATTTATACATTATATAATAACATAGATTTATAGAAAGTATAAATGAGAAAGCAGGACATAAAAACGCGCCCAATCCGTTCAGAATTTTTTTTTTTTTTACAGGTCGGATCGCGAAACGCGACCCTCGTTCTTATCCAATTGTTTCCTTTCCAAAGGGCAGAAATCGGAACCTTTTTTTTTAAAGAAGGGGGGAAGCGGGAAGGCAAAATGTTCCTTCGAGCCTCCCCCCCCTCCTTTTTTTTTCTTATTTCGCGGAATTGTTTTCTCTCTGGTTTATTTTATTTCATTCCCCCCCCCCATCAATGGCGCAGAAATCAGGATCGTCACGAAAAACACTGAAAAAGGGAGAGAGATTTTTGACTGGACGGGGGGGGGCGGGGGGAGAGGAGAGGTTTCTTGGCCGGAGTGAAAAGGGAACCGATCCAGCTGATCTGTTTCGAACAGGGAGGCGCAATTTGGGTGAGGGGGGGGGCTTTTTCGGGGGGGGGTGTATATGTGTGTGTGTGAGAGAGGGGGGAGACAAAACGAGAGAACTAGAGAGAATGAGAGAGAGAGAGAGAGAGAGAACTAGCGAGAATAATAGAAGGAATGAGAGGTAGAAAGAGAGAAAGAAAGAGGGAAACAAGAGAATTAGAGAGAATGATAGAGAGAGAGAAAGAGAGAGAGAAAGAGAGAACTAGCCAGAATGACAGGAGGAATGAGAGAGAGAAAGAGGGAAACAAGAGAACTAGAGACAATGAGAGAATAAGAGAGATTGAGAGAGAGAGAAAGAATGAGAGAGAAAGAGAGAGAGAAAACGAGAGAACTAGACAGATTGAGGGGGAATGAGAGAAAGAAAGAAAGGGAAAAATGAGAACTAGGGAGAATAAGAGAGAATGAGAGAGAGAATGAAAGAAAGAGAATGTGAGAGAATGAGAGAGAGAGAGAGAATTACAGAGAATGAGAGAGGGGGAACGAGAGAGAGAGAGAGAGAGAGAGAGAGAGAGAGAGAGAGAGAGAGAGAGAGAGAGAGAGAGAGCGCAAACTGCCCCCCTTTTCAAGACTATGGATCCACCTGGGCGCCCTGCAGATCCACATTCCCGGACATCCCCCCCATAGAAACCTGGCCTTTCTCCCCCCCCTCGCCCCCCCCCGCCCCACCAGCGGGCCGCCCTGCTGCTCCTTTCTCCATCCTCTGCCTCCCATCCCCGGATCCTGCTTTTATTATTTTTTTAATGGCTTCCTCTCCTTTTTTCCAGGAAGTTTGGGACGAAGTGCGCCGGCTGCGCGCAGGGCATCTCCCCCTCGGACCTGGTGCGGAAAGCCCGGAGCAAAGTCTTCCACCTGAACTGTTTCACCTGCATGGTGTGCAACAAGCAGCTCTCCACGGGCGAGGAACTGTACATCATCGACGAGAACAAGTTCGTCTGCAAGGAGGATTACCTGAGCTCGCCCAGTTTCAAAGAAGGCAGCCTGAACTCAGGTGAGCAGATGGCCTGGGCCGCTATCCCGCCCCTTTCCCCATCTCTGGCCCTGCCTCTGAGTTCGAATCCCGGGGCCAAGGGGAGGCGACTGTGATTGATTTGGGTTCTCCGCTTTTTTTCCCCTCCCTGCTTTGGGGTGGGGTGGGGACAAAACACCTCCATTTGCCCCAATGGAGACCACATTTATGTGGCCAAGCAAACATTATTTGCTCCACCTGTTTTTTGCCCCATTTGGCGACTTTTCCTGCCAGCGTTGTTAAGCGAATCACTGCTAAGTTAAGTTAGGAACCGGTTGTTAAGTGAATCTGGCTTCCCCATTGATTTTGCTTGCCAGAAGGTCGCATAAGGGGATCTTGTGACCCCCCCCCCAGAGATGGCAACTGTCATAAATACGAGTCAGTGGCCAAGTGTCTGAATTTTGATCGAGTGACCAAAAGGGGAGGCTGCAACAGTCGGTCCGTAAGTGTGGGAAACAATCATAAATCGCATTTTTTGGTGCTGTTGTAACTGTGAAACAGTCACTAAATGAACAGTTGGAGTCTTGGATTCTGCACTCCCCACCGTGAATAGTGTGGTCTCTAAATGAGTGATTTAAGAAGGGGGCTTGGATGGAGAGTGTCATAGGCCCGTCTCTGGATCTCGGCTAGATCTAAGATGGCTTGGCTGCTCTTATAAATCAGTGTTTCTCACTGTGGGTAGTTTGAAGATGCCTGGACTTCAACATCGTTTATAAATTATATTGCAATTTATAAATTAGCACAGTGGCTGGGGAAGTGGTGGGGGGCAGTTGAAGTCCACACCTTCTTCTGTTACAGATGGATTTAGTTGGCTCGCTAGCTCCATGTTGTGCCTTCCTTTCAGAAGCTTAAGGCAGTCAAGCCAACAGGTTAAGCTGACAGGTGGGGCCTGGGCCAAATCCCTGAGAGAAGATGGGTTTGGCATGAAACCCCCCCCCCGTGGGTTGTGTTGTTGTTGTTGTTGTTGGTTTCCCACAAAGCCTCACTGTTGAAGATGGTTAGGTAAATTTCTGAATAGGCAAGTATCCCTCAGCTTGTGCTGTAGGAAATGTTTCTGAAATGTGGTTTTCAGCTAAACAGGAGGACAGTAAATGTAATAGAAGAAGAGACACATTCCAAGTTTTTTTGGGGGGAGGCGAGAATAGGAGAAATCCTCTCCCCACTACAATCCTACAAGTCCTTCCTTCCTTCTTTCCCTCCCTCCCTCCCTCCCTTCTTTCCTTCCTTCCTTCCATCTTCATATTAAGCTTTTTAAGAATCCCATGCTATTTTCATTCAGCCGTGAAGTAGCAGGTTTTCCAAAGCCATCAGGAGCTTCTGTTTCATAGGAAGTTTCACTAACTTTCCAAGTGGAAAGGGACGACTGTGGCACGGGGGGGGGGGGAGGGAAGCAGAATTTCAGATGGCCAGTTCTGGGTTGGGGGGGCTCCTTCCCCTGGCTGTTGGCCAGAGTGTAGCCAAGACAATTGTGAGACGGGATCAGGTGCATTTCCAGCCTGCTCCATCTCCTTCTCTTTGTGCGTGCCTAATTTAGTGATGTGGGGAGAGAAATTGGGGTCTGGGAGCCCTGCAGATACCCTCACCATCTGCATGAAAAGGGTCTTCTCTTCATGGAACCTGCTCAGACCGTGGCATCTGCCAAACGCACTCTTCTCCCGGCTTTCTGCAAGCCAGATTTTCCTAACTTTCTCCCCACCAAATGGGGGCCACCCCACATCCTGTCCCCTTCAGCAAGTCCGGCATGCGAGAGGGGAGGGCAATGGGAGCTGTTCTCCTGCAAAAAGAGCCTGGGGGGAGGGGGCAGCCAAGGGTGGTCCCCACACAAGTGCATCTTCCTGCCATCAATCGAGAAGCAAGTTCAAGGGGGCTGCTGGCCTTGCTGAAGATGTGAAGGACCCAACTAAAAGGGGAGACTCCTTCCAGTTGTGCTTTGGCTTGTGGTGATTTCATGAATGTGTCCATGTAGTTTCCTTGGCAGAAATAATGGATGTGGTTTGCTATAGACTTGGTGGTCTCCCATACAAGACCTTCCTCCCCTCTTTCCCTCCCTCTTCATCACTTTCCTTTTCCTTCCTTCCTTTCTTTCCCACTGCCTCACTTTTCATCACTTTCATCTTTCTTTCTTTCTTTCTTTCTTTCTTTCTTTCTTTCTTTCTTTCTTCCTTCCTTCCTCCCTCCCTCCCTTTTCATCACTTTCATCTTCCTTTCTTCTTTCCCTCTCCCTTCTTCCCTTTTCTTCCTTCCTCCCTCCCTTCTTCCCTGCCTTTTCATCACTTTCATCTTCCTTCATTCCCTCCCTCCCTCTCTCTCCCTCCCTCCCTCCCCTCCTTCCCCTTCCTTCCTTCGTTCCTTCCTTCATTCATTCCTTCCTTCCGCATATTTCAAGTGGAGGAGAATGACATTTCCTCAACCAGACTGCCCAGCGCATGAGAATATACTTCCCATCATTAAGTTAGACAGCCTGGCTGAGATTCCTTGGATTGGTCGTCCAAAATCTCTCCAGAGCAGCAGCTGGCGATGGCTTTTCCAAATAGCTCAGTGAGTTGGCTGCTACCCTTGTGCTTCCAAGCCCTCCTTTTCCACAGCTTTATCTGTTTGGCTGATTCGTTAATGAATCAATTAATTGATTGCCTTCCCACTGCCTTTGGGCGCCTCTGTCCTCTCTAAGCAACTCCCCTCCTTTTATTTGACACAGGCAGACCCGTTTTCTTCCTGGATGCTTCTTCCCAAGAAACCTGAAAATCAACAGAGTAGGTTCATTCACAGAGAGCAAGATGGGGGCGGGGGGTTCCCATCATGGGAGAGCAGCTTTTTTGTGGGAGGTGGGGAGAGTCAAAGGGAAGGCCTGTTAGAAGGAAGACCTGTTGGTTGATGCTGTTTTCTCCCTTGCTTTGAAATGTCATAAGTTGGCTCCGTTGTATGTAAACTCTTCTTCTCTTTTCTGCTGAATGAGACCCAAGGTAGACTTTCTTCTGACTTCCCCATAATAGTGCTGGACAGAGTGTATCTCCTTTATCTCGGGCTCCCAAGAGAGACATGCTGTGTGTTTTTTTTTTCCCTCCTAGCAGATGTCTGTATAGTTCCTTCCTTGTCTTAGGCAGAACCTCACTAGACTAAAGCAGGCAACCTGTAGTAGTAGGAGGAGTGGAAGAATCTCGAGGTGGAGTTAAAAGAGAGGTCAGCCTGGGATCTGTACATAGTCACCATGAATTGAGAGGATTCCTGTGCGTAGGCCTTTTAGCAATGAATCAGTTGAATTGGAGAATATTTATAGCTCAGGGTTGAAGTGAGGAGTCCTTGGTGCTCTCCGAGGTTGGTGGTTTTCTTGCAGACATTTCATTATCCAAACTAGGTAACATCCTCAGTGCTAGCAACACTGAAGGAGGAAGGGTGCATTTATATAATGTATGTTGTTATTTGTGGTTTTTACTTGTGTGTAGTGTGCACTGTCAACAGCACTTAATTTACACAATGACAATAAAGATTCTACTCTATTCTACTCTACTCTATTCTACTCTACTCTACTCCACTCCACTCCACTCCATCCCATTCCTCATTATTCTATTCTATTCTATTCTATTCTATTCTATTCTATTCTATTCTATTCTATTCTATTCTATTCTAATTCTATTCTACTCTACTCTACTGTACTCTACTCTACTCCACTCCACTCCACTCCACTGTACTCTACTATACTCTTCTCTACTCTACTTCACTCCATCCCATTCCATTCCTCATTATTCTATTCTATTCTATTCTATTCTATTCTATTCTATTCTATTCTATTCTATTCTACTGTACTCTACTCCACTCCACTCCACTCCACTGTACTCTACTATACTCTTCTCTACTCTACTTCACTCCATCCCATTCCATTCCTCATTATTCTATTCTATTCTATTCTATTCTATTCTACTGTACTCTACTCTACTCCACTCCACTCCACTGTATTCTACTATACTCTTCTCTACTCTACTTCACTCCATCCCATTCCATTCCTCATTATTCTATTCTATTCTATTCTATTCTATTCTATTCTATTCTATTCTATTCTATTCTATTCTATTCTATTCTATTCTATTCTGGATCCCTCAATTGGATCTTTACACGTGGACCTGGCCTTTCATGCCTGACACTAACTACTATCCACATAAAGCATATACTCTGGGAACTCTTGAGGAGGAGCCATCTTCACCCTCATTCTCACACACAAACTATCTTAACTCAGGGGTGTCTTGCTCTTCCTGAATGCACTCCTTCCCTCCTAGGAATCCAGGCCACATTCCACCGCTTCTGGCTAAGGTCCCCCCATGACGCTACTTGCTCTTTCTTCCTCCCACCCTCTTGACCATTCTCCCTTTACCCCCCCAACAGTTTCTTCCTGTACCGATCGAAGTTTATCTCCGGATCTTCAGGACCCCATGCAGGATGATACAAAGGAGACAGACAATTCCACTTCCTCGGATAAAGAGACCACCAACAATGAAAATGAGGAGCAGAACTCTGGGACCAAAAGAAGAGGACCTCGGACCACTATCAAGGCCAAACAGCTGGAGACCCTCAAGGCGGCTTTTGCAGCCACCCCTAAACCCACCCGGCACATCCGGGAGCAGCTAGCTCAAGAGACGGGGCTCAACATGAGAGTCATCCAGGTAAGATCAAATATTTTGCTATCATAGAGTTTTGAAGGGGTCCAGTTGGAAAATGGCAAGACCACACTTGGAGTACTGCATCCAGTTCTGGTCATCGTGATCCCCCCACCCCCCAAAAACCAACAACCCTATTGAGACCCTAGAAAGAGTGCAGAGAAGAGCAGCAGAGATAATTAGGGACCCTAGATGAAGGTTGTGGGAACTGGGAATGTCTAATGAGCAGAAGAACTGGGAGTGATATGATAGCAGTCTTCCAATATTTAAGGGGCTGTCCAAGAAAAGAGGAGTCAAGCACTAGAAAGTAAGGAGATCCAGGCAGTTCATATGGATATAAACAATTATTGCAAGCTTAAGCTCTCTAACAAGAATCCGAACTACTAACAGTCAAAGCAATTTGTGCGGTAGATAAGGAATTCACGATGGGCTGGACTTAAATCTCTTGTGAGCGCAAAGGGACTCATGACTGATGATGCATTTGACCCCTCCCTCAGGCTCAGCCTGGGCATCTTCTACAGAGGGGGGGGGGAATCATCCAAAGAACCTGAGGGCAAGACAAGAAGTAATGAGTAGAAGCTTGTTAAAGAGAAATCCAACCTAGAATTGAGGAGCGATTTCCTGACAGTGAGAACAACTAACCAGTGGAACAGCTTGCCACCAGAAGTTGTGGATGCTTAATCATTGGAGGTTTTCAAGAAGAGACCGGACAATCATTTGTCCAGGATGGTAAAAGGCAGGGATGTCAAATTGTGGGCTGGATGTGTCATGAGGAAACCACGCGCACCCCATTGCCGGCAATCGGGAAAAAGTTCTGATATGTTGTGCGACGTCCCGAGTTTGACATGTCTGGTATAGGATATGCTCTCTGAGCAAGGAGTTGGACTAGAAGATCTCCAAGGTCCCTTCCAACTCTGTTATTCCGTATTCTATTCTATTCTGAATGATTGTTTACCATACTTTTACCAAGAGCCCTGGTGGTGCAGTGGTCAGAATGCAGTATTGCAGGCTAACTCTGCCCACAGCATGGCGTTCGATCCTGACCGGCTCAAGGTTGACTCAGCCTTCCATCCTTTTGAGGTCGGTAAAATGAGGACCCAGATTGTTGGTGGGGCAAGATGCTGACTCTGTAAACCACTTAGAGAGGAGCTGTAAAGCAGTATATAAGCGGCATTTAAGTCTAAATGCTATTGCTATCGCTTACCAAACATCTGCAAGAAAACAGCCAAGCTCAGAGAGCACCAAGGATCCCTCAGTTGGATCTTCCCATGAGGATCTGGTCTTTCACGCCTGACACGATCACCCCCATAAAGTATTTACTCTGTGAACTCTTAAGGAGAAGCCATCTAATAGATAATCTTTGGAGGGTTTTTTGGATTCTTTGTGGACATTTATCATAGCCCCAGAGGTTTTCTAATGCCTTTTAGAATTAAGTCTCCTCCATGTCCTTTCCAATTCTGCCTTTTTATCTACCAAAGCAGGGGCACACATTTCTACACCTTTTAGGTGATGCTATCACTTCTCACCATGGATATCTGGAAAGAATCTCCAGTCCTGAACCATCTCCAAGGACTTTTCTCCCCCCCACCCCTTCCACGAAAAGGAGAACCATCGTGAAATGTTGACTTTGTCAAGCTGTGGGCTTCTTTGGGCTCTTTTCCAGAATGATTTTTTTTTTATTTTTACAGACAGCCATCATCCTTCTTCATTACTGTCTTCTAGGAAATATTTTGAGCCCCTAAACTTTTGCTGCTTTAATTAAGAATGGGGTGTTAGGAAGTCAGCTTAACAAACACCAGAAGTTGCAGGAGTCACAGCCACCAGATCCCTTTTGGAATGGAGATTACTTTGACCAGATTTCTTCCCAATTTGCCAGTTGGCCAGTCTTTCCATTTTCTAAGAATCTGCTAATGAGAGAACTACATGAGTGTTTTCAGATTCAAAGCAATATGCTGCAAAAGTTAGTCCCTGATGGCTCAGAATGAGTTCTTCTCTGCCCTGAATCTTCCAAAATAAATCAGCTTTTCCTCTTGACTAGTACCCTTCACAGGTGGGAAACAACAGTTTCCATCCAACATGGGGAGTCTGGTGGGGAAGATCTCCAGATCTTCCAGATTCTTGGGTTCCTGGTCCGGTACGGAAGTTGCTATTTGTCTGAAGATCTTCTCAGCTCCATAGGCCAAGAAATCTGGTTGACCACCAACTCCAGTTCTTTTTTTAAAAAAAAAATAAAAATCTTCCATCTTTTCAAAATTCTCTTCTTTTGCTTGGCACCTCAACACGGGCCTTCTTGAAGAAAACTTCCACCTGGATTTCCCTGTTTGCCTAGGTTTAAATTAACTATGGACTAGGCAGGGGCTTACAAACATGGCAAATTTTAAGACTTGTGACTTCATTTCCCAGAATTCCCCAACCTGAATGATTGGCTGAAGAATTCTGGGAGCTGAGGTCCACAGGTCTTAAAAGTGGCCCATTTTGGAGACCTCTGGACTAGCCCAGTGTCTTAGGATTCACATACACCCCCAAATTAGTTCCACAGGCTGGGTTTAGCTCCCCAGTAACTGGTTTGTTGACGACTCAATGAATCTTGTGAACGCACACCCCACTTTCTTAAATCATTAGCTGGTGTGGAACTAAGCAGAGTGAAATTAATGTAAGACTAGCAAAGGGGAGTGAGAGACCCGGCTGGTATATTAAGTATTTTTTGAATCTTCTCCATTCGGAAAAAGAAATATCCTTTTTGAATGATCTCCACAGAGCTGCTCCCTGGGTCTTTTCTGATGAATAATCTTCTGTCTGGGAGGATTACGGCCGCATTCTCACCACGCACTTAACCCAGATCTTCAATTGATCCCTTTGCTGAGTTCCGCCAACCCCAACCACCAACTAACCCAATGGGAGGCATTGTCCAACCCCTCCCAGTTGTCACCTCCTTTCCCTCCACCGAGGCATTCGAGATTAACCCACCTTAGCTGGTTGCGTGAATACAACAATCTGCACAAAACAAGTGCAGTTGTGCGGATAGAAGACAATCTTTGTAGCTGAGGGTTGAGCTGTGGGGTCTTTGGTGCTCTCCGAGCTTGGATGTTTTCATGCAGACGTTTCATGACCCAACTTCATAACGTCATCAGTGCTAGGATGAAATGGGGTTTATGGGGGGAGGAAGAGGAGGAGGAGGGGAGGGGAGGGAGGACTGTGGGGGTCCTTGGTGCTCTCTGAGCTTGAATGTTTTCTTGCAGACTTAATAACATCAGTGCTAAGAGGGAGTGGGGATTGTGAGAGGAGGAGGACTATGGGGTCCTTGGATATTTTCTTGCAGACATTTTATTACCCAACTAGGTAACATCTTCAGTGCTAGGAGGAAATGGGGTTTGCAGAGTGGAGGAAGAGGAGCTTTGTAGGTTTTTTAATAAAGATCTTATTACTTTTTCCCCCCATAAACGTATGTTAATTTTTCCAATCAACGAGTTTTCTGGAGTTTGCTCTGCTAATACATGTTCAATTCCTAACCCTTCATTCTTTCCTCTAGCCAACAATAAAATAAGTCCCAAATTTGATAATAGTCTGTATCTTCTTTATCTTTCAACCTCATAGTTAATCTGTCCATCTCTGCACATTCCAATATTTTTCTGATTATTTCTTCTTCTGACAACAATCCTTCATTCTCCCAGTATTGTGCAAAAATGATTCTCGCTGCTGTAGTGATGTGTAAGATGAAATATAATTTCTGCTTATTAGTCTTTTCAGGCATAATACCTAGTTAAAAAAAAAAGTTCAATGTATTGGCTTAGCAAACTCCAGACAACTTTTGATTGGAAAAATTAACATATATTGATGAGACAAAAAAAATAATAAGAATGAAAAAAAAAAAGTTCAGGTTTAAACGCTCTCTGGCCTTGGATATTTTCTTGCAGCTATTTATTACCCAACTAGGTAACATCTTCAGTGCTAGGAGGAAATGGGGTTTGCCGAGTGGAGGAAGGGGAGGAGCTTTGTGGTTTTCTTGTAGACCTTTCACTACCATACTAGGCAACACCATCAGGGCACCCCGTTGCTTTCTAGAAGGATCCTTCTCACTCCCCCCCCCCCATTTTCCAATTGCACCTGCCTTTCCCTTCATCCCATTTTGGGTGCAGCCTGGTCCTGGGGATCTGGGATGGGTGTTGCATGTCTGCTCGGAGACCCTCCCCTTACCATCTCTCTCTCCCCCCTCCCCGGTCCCCAACAGGTTTGGTTCCAGAACCGGCGCTCTAAAGAGCGAAGAATGAAGCAGCTGAGCGCGCTGGGCGCCCGAAGACACGCGTTCTTCCGAAGCCCTCGGCGCATGCGCCCTCTGGGTGGCCGGCTGGATGAATCCGAGATGCTGGGCACGGCTCCTTACAGTTACTACGGAGGTAACTCGGTTTCTTCTCCTCCTCCTCCAAAGGGAGTTTGTTGGGTGTTTTTTTTGGGTCTGAATGTGCTGCTTCAAGGACGAGCTTCTTTTCTGGGGCTTATTTTCTCTTGCACTTAAGACTCCCGGGTCGTGGGAAAAGGTTACGTCTTGGTTTCCCAGTCAAGGTCTTAGTTTAGACGGCGAGCGTTTGAGGGGTTGGGTCCGGGCTAGGTTGACAGCGTACGCCCATCGTGGTTTGTTGGGTAGGCCGCCCTGGCTGGGCTCCCCGGCGTCGCAAAGCCCCTTGGACTCTGCGTCCGGAGATGCGGGCGGTGCGCGTGAGGTGGTCGGCCTCGAGCAAGGGTGCGCACGTGCACGTTGCACGTGTCCCCAGCCTTTGGGTTGGAAGCCTTCGGGCTGGAGAGTTCACGGGGAAGAGGGAGGCGAAGGTGCCGCTCGGCGGGTTTTTTCTCACTTGCTCCAAAATAAAAAGAAAACAAAAGCTTCTTGGTCCGCACGGAGGGGAGATTCCAAATCCGGAAAATTAACCTTTATTAGGAAAGTTTTGCGATGGATGGAAAAGGCAGCGTTTTCCCGTGAGAGTGTATTTTTCCATTTTTTTTTCCTTGTTTGCGTTTTTGGCCTTTGTTCCTTCTCTCTTTCTTTCTTTCTTTCTTTCTTTCTTTCTTTCTTTCTTTCTTTCTTTCTTTCTTCCTTCCTTCCTTCCTTCCTTCCTTCCTTCCTTCCTTCCTTTGTTTTCTTTTTCTTTCTTATTCTCTTTTTTCTTTCTTTCTTTCTTTCTCTTTCTTTTTTCCCTCCCTCCCTCCTTCCTTCCTTCGTTCCTTCCTTCCTTGTTTACCTCTCTCTCTCTATCTATCTCTTTCTTTCTTTCTCTGTTTTCTTTCTTTCTCTTTCTCTTTTTTTTCTTTCTTTCTTTCTTTCTTTCTTTCTTTCTTTCTTTCTCTTTCTTTCTTTCTTTTTTCCCTTCCTCCCTGCCTTCCTTCCTTCCTTTTCTTCCATGTTTACCTCCCTCTCTCTCTCTCTCTCTCTCTCTCTCTCTCTCTCTCTCTCTCTCTCTCCTTTCTTTCCACCTCTTTCAGACTGGGGTGTCTCCAATGACCCTTGGCCTGACCCTACCTGTTTGCGCGCTGCACCTTGTTTTTGTGGTTTTGTATTGAGTTGATCTCTGCAGGACACTCGTCAGAATAGGCCTCCTATTCAGTTGCTCCGAATCAATCGGAATGTCAGGACGTGCAATTGGACCACAAGGTTGCAAAACGGGAACAGGTTCCTTATGGCTTGGATAAGGAGTGAGGTTCCTGGAATGGGAGGTGTCTTTCAGCTGATGGAGTGGGTCCCCCCCCCCTTTTTGATAATGCCTAATTGCATTTGTGTAAGAATAACATCTATTTATATGGGGGGGGAGAGAGAGGGAAGAGAGAGAGGTATTTATTTTTAAATTGTGTATTATGTTACCATTAATATGTATACACAGCTATATCTCTAGTCCCGTGTTTCTGTGCTGTTGAGAGAGTAGGCAATATTTTTTGAGCATGAGTGTGGTAATTTGTGATTATTGATAAAGTCAGTTTCAATTATTAGCTACCACAGAAGTTTTCTCCAAACTGGTTCTTCAGGTTTTCCCACAGTGCCCTCATCCCCACTTGCATTCCCTCAGCTTCTCTTCACTTCCAATTTCCCAAAATTAAGAGTTTTCTCCAGAGAGTTGGGTCTTCACGCAATGCGTCCTAAGTAGAATAATTTAAACCTGGTCATTTGGGCCTCCAGTGAGGCCTCTGGCTTGATTTGTTCCACCGTCCATTTGTTTGTTTTCTTAACTGTCCACCCTATTCTCAGGAATCTTTTCCAACTCCAAAATTCAAAGGTGTCAATGGTCTTCCTGTCCTGCTTCTTTTAAAGTCCAACTTTTCACTTTCATGAAGCGTCCAAATGTCAGGATTCTGATTTTTTGTAGGCAGAGATACATCAGGGAATCTGAATGTCTTCCTGGCTATGCTACCAAGTGCAGGTCAATTCCATATTTCTGGGGTGCCGGTTCCTTTCCTGTGGATGGTTAATCCTAAGAGTCAGGAATTCTCCACCACTTTCATAGCTTCAAGGATTCTAAGGCTGGACCTGTCATTAGTTCAGTCTTCTTGATAGCTAATTTTATTCCCATTTTTTTTCCCCACTGTGCTCCTTGACTTTTACTGCTAAAGTAGATTGGGTTTCTAGATCTGGATATTGGCCTTAAAAAGGTGGCATGGGTACATGTGCAAAGCTGCAGCATAAGCGTGATTACAGATGTCCACTAAAATGTATTGTCAGGTGATTATTTTGCAAAGCAGTGCAGGGTAATAGGGCAGAAAGTTGCACATATTTTAAGTGTGAATTAAAAAGCCTCGTTAGCATGGTCAGCTTTGTTCATGGGCCTAGTAATGAATGAGTAGACCTTGGTAGGTCATTGCTTTCTGAACCATCCCCCCCCCCCCGTATGTGTTTTCACACACGCATTTCCAAATGCAGAATCTGTCTGGTTCTCTCTCTAATAGAATTAACTAGAGCCAGTTGCAGCAATTGTGCCAGCACATTCGCCCTGGTACGGAGGGGAACCCCCTTCTCTTATCTACCCCTCCCCACACCTGCATCCCACACCCCCAGCGTGGGGGGTCTGCCATTCAAGCCCCACCTTTTAAGACCCAGCACACAAGCTGGCTTTTCAATGAATTTAGGGAAGATTGATCGGCAGAAGCGCCTTTGATGTATTTCCTTCCTGTGTGTGTTGTGTGTGTGTGTGTGGTGGTGTTGGGGGGGGGAGAAATGGCGATTTTGTGGCTGTGTTCTTACAGGTTGAAATGGCCTAGCCAGTAAAGTTGTATGGAATTCAAGAGCAAAAAAAAAAAAAAAAAAAAGGTCTATAAGGAGCATTGTTCCTTAGAATCCAAACAAAGGGGGCAAAAATTAAAATCCTTTTGGAAAGCACAAATCTACCAAGATCTACTCAGAAGTAAATCCAGGAGAACCCCATGGGGGTTTACTCCCATGGAAGCAGGTATCCCTAGGGGTGTCGTAGCTTCTCACTGGGTCCAACTGTTCGGAAAATGGGCCTTACTTAGAAGAGTCAGTAAGCAAAGGGTTGGGTTTAAAGGCCCCAAATACATTGCCTCATAAGGCAGGTGGACGAGGATAATGGGAGCTGTAGTCTGAAGCGACTCAGAGAGCACCCCATCGGAGGGTTATTGGGGGGGGTGTTATCCTGGCTTGCTGTAGGGGATTTATCCACCCCAGGGGTCGAAATGGAGAATAAACCACATCTGTTGGGTCAGGGTCAGCTTCTCCAGTTGTGCATTAATACTGGGCTCATTCTGGGGTCTACGTATCGGGGATAAGCAGTGGGGGCTTCATGAGGGACCCCCGAGCTTGGGGTGTTTAAAAAAGGTCTGCTTTTTAATCCAATTTGCTCCACACAAAAGCTCCTGATCTTTTGCATCCCCCCCCACTTTCCAATCCCACTAAGCCAGTCTTCTCCCCCCCCAGCCCTCCTCCAAATGTGGTGTGTGGGTGCAACTCATTTCCTTTTTGTGGGGTGCAAATCAATTCTTTGTGGGGTGCAACTCCGTTCCTTTTTCTGGGGTGCAAATCAGCTGCTTTTTGTGGGGTGCAAATCTGTTCCTTTTGGGGGGGGCTGCAATTCAGGGGAGCCTCTCCCATCACTCACCCCCTTCTCTGCTCTCTTCCCCCCCCTTTCCCCCCTCCCTGCAGATTACCAAGGCGATTACTACGGGCCCGGGAGCAACTACGACTTTTTCTCGCATGGCCCCCCCTCACAGGCACAGTCGCCGGCCGACTCCAGCTACATCCCGACCTCGGGGGCCAGCTCCACCCCACTCGGGCCCCTGGACGCCCCCTTGGCCGGACATCATACCTCGGAGAACCAAAGGTACACGGATATGATCTCCCACTCCGACACGCCCAGCCCGGAGCCGGGGCTGCCCGGCTCGCTGCACCCCATCCCGGGCGAGGTCTTCAGCGGGGGTCCCAGCCCCCCCTTCCCCATGTCGGGGTACAGCGGGCCCCTTTCGCATTCCAACCAGGAGCTCAGCGAAGCGGCTGTGTGGTAGAGCGCCCAGGGGGGCAGGGGGGGACGCCGTGGGGCTCCAGGCCCCTCCTCCAAGCCCTAACTCGAACCCAGAGCCCCCTTCCCACCAGGGAGAAGGGCTGAGGCCATCCCGCTTCCCTCGGAGCCGCTCCAGGACCACGCTGGCCCGCTGCCTTGCCCCAAGTGGGCCCAGGGGAGACGCTGTGAAGCCCGGGGAAGGGCCGCCAGCTGCCAACCTCCAGCTCCACCACTCTTTGGACCAAAGTAGGATTCGCTTCTGGTTTCCGCAGACTGGAGGATGGGGATTGGAGGAACGGGAGGGGGTTTCACTTCCACCCACCCACCCACCCACCCAGGATAGTGTCTTGGGTTCGGTTTTTAGTGTTCCTTTTTTTTTGTTTTTACGAAAAGGGGGGAAATGAAGAAACACACAAACAGACACACAAACGCGCACACACACACAAAAAAGCAAGTTGGAATTTGGTTCACTTTGTTTTCCTTTCTTCGGATTCGGACCCAACAGGAAAAAAAAAGATGAGAAAGAGAATGGATTTCTTTTCATCAGAAGGCTGGTTTTGATTGACAGAGCAAAGAGGGGAGGGAGGGGGGAGCTGGAGAGAGAGTTGTTGGGTGTTTTTTTTTTGCTGGTGATGTGGCGCCCCCTGGTGGTCGGTGCTTGGAACGACACACCGGACTTCTTAAAAACACCTCCAGGTGGATTGGCGAGAGAGGGTGTTTTCGTTTTCCTTTGGTTGAATTAATTAATTAATATTATTCTAATATTCTTATTTTTATTGGGGAGGGGAGGAAACACCCCCAACACCCTCCCCACACACACCCCAACGACCAATAACAGCAAAACATTTTCAAAAAAGAAGAGAAAAGCAACTCATTTGAGGATGGTGAGGACCCTTGCACCGAACTTTGCTGCGAGGCTGTTTAAGGATGTATCATAGGGTTTTTTGCTCCTACTTTCTTTATTTTGTATAAAGAAGAAACAAATAAAGTATGTTTTTGTGTTTACTGATCATTTATTCTATCGAGGATCTCCAGGGCCAAAGTGGCCCTGAACGAAAAGGATGCATGCCGAATTGGTATGAGAAATGACAAAAATAGCCGTATCTAAATAATAACCAAAGCAAATTACAATTTTTGAGGCTGTGGTTTCTCTTGAGAAAATATCCGGATTGAATGCAAGAAAAAATGGAATCGAATCTTTAATACTGTCACAAACCAGCATAAAGGGGTCAAGTGTAAAGACTTGTGGACTTCAACTCCCAGAATTCCTCAACCAGCCACGGGAGTTAAGTCTCCAGTGATGGAGCACCCACAGGTCTTGAAGGCAAGCCGTCCCCTGGTTAATTTTTCTCACTGTTAAGAAAGTTCTAGACTGCTTCTCTCCTTGATCAGTTTCCATCCATTGCTGCTTGTCCTGCCTTTAGGGGCTTTGGAGAATAATTGGGTTGCAAGGGACCTTGGAGGTCCTCTAGTCCAGCCCCCTGCTCAAGCAGGAGACCCAATACCATCTCAGACAAGTGGCTGTCCAGTCTCTTCTTAAAATCCTCCAGTGATGGAGCACCCACCAATTCTGAAGGCAGGCCATTATTAACCGGGGAATCTTTGCTGCTGTGGAAAATTTACTGTTGGGATCCTAAACCGATCGCATCCCATTTTCAAAACGTCATATTGTGGGCTGCCTGGAGCCAGCATCCGGATCGATCTCTCAAATCAAACATGACCCACTCAAAAAGGAATTGCCGATTCCGGATTCAACTAATCCAACCCCAAATCAAATATTAACACCTCCCACCTTTGCCCCCAAGCAGTTTATTTATTTATGAGACTTATATACCGCTTTAAGTGCAAGCACTCTCTAAGCGGTGTACACCAGTAAGCAATGTATATATATATATATTTACATTGCCCCCAACAATCTGGGTCCTCATTTTACCTACCCCAGAAGGATGGAAGGCTGAGTCAACCTTGAACCGGTGAGATTTGAACTGCTGACCTGCTGAACACGGTGAGCTAAAGTGGCCTGCAGTAGTGCACCCTAACTGCTGTGCCACCTCGGCTCAGTTCGTGGTTATTTTCAAGCTTTTCCATCGGAACGGTTCTCTTAAGGCCCCCCCCCAAGCCAAAGGCATTGGTGTTGACGGGAGAGGAACTGCCATAATTAAAAATAATTATGACAATAATGCAGGCAGACACTAGCAAATAAGTGAGTCTAAGTTGGCACACTTGCTAATTGCAGTGCAGAGTCTCCGTCAAAACAAGGCAACTCTGGATAAACATTGATGGGGCTAAATAATCACTGGATGCAAACAATGCAGGAGTTGCCTCTGGGAGACGAGAGAGCTGCCGTTGAAAGAGATGGAAAGAAACGTAAATCAAAATTTAAATAAGTCTGGTAAGGAAGGCTCCAGTAGGAGACATAAAGAGGAAGGAGGCAACTTTCCCCACATCCAATTATCGTTTCCCAATTGTCCTGTGGTGAGATGGGCGACGGATAAATTTAATACATGCAGTTAGTTGACTGACAGCTGTCCATTTGGCACACGTACAACTGTTGCGGCACCCTCCCCCAGGTCTGTTTGCATTTGCTGTTTATTTTTGGAGAAATTGCAAAACCGGAGGCCAACAAGTTGGTATTTCCTCATTTGGTTTGTAGAGGTTTTTATTATTCCATTTTGCTGCACGTATCACACAAGGCCTTTCGTTTTTGCAAGAATAATTTCAATGATGAATCTAGCAAGCAAATTAATAGATTAATGTTTCATGGATTTTATTTTCCTTTTCTTTCCTTCCTTCCTTCCTTCCTTCCTTCCTTCCTTCCTTCCTTCCTTCCTCCCTCCCTTCCTCCTCCTTTCTCTCTCTCTCTCTCCCCTACTCTTCCTCTCCTCTCTCTCTCTGCTACTCTTCCTCTCCTCTCTGTCTCTCTGCTACTCTTCCTCTCCTTCTCTCTCTCTGCTACTCTTCCTCTCCTTCTCTCTCTCTGCTACTCTTCCTCTCCTCTCTCTCTCTCTCATATGATCAGTTTACTTTCATCAATGTAGTCTACGCTAATGGTTATTTTTTAACGCGCAACCCCTGAAATATGTTTTGCTTCTTTCTTTCTTATACTGTACATCATTAGCACTATAACAATAATAAGGAAAAAGAAGGGGAGGGGGAGGAAACCCAGCACATTCACTCTATGAATTCAGTCATGATTCATTTTATTTATTTCTCTTGATTATGAAAGCTTCTGCAACACTTCGATGGTGAAACTGCTTGGAGTTAATAAAACCAAGGGTGTCCGGTTGATCTCTCGGGCTTCCATTGCATCACAGTAAGGAGGTCAGCTGTAGCTGTAGGGAGTCTGCTGAACTGCACTGATTGTTGCTGGCTGGGACAGCTGCGAGGAGTAATCCTGTAGTACAGTTAGTCCCCTGACTAACCACGTTTCACTTCGTCGCCATTCAAAGTTACAACGGCACTTAAAAAACGGACTTAGGACCGTTTTTCACAGTGGTGACCTTTGCGGGCGTCCTCAGGGCCACGTGATCAAAATTCAGACGCTTGGAAACTGACTCGCACTTAACGACGCTCACAAGGTGTGCCAGGGTCACGTGTGATCCCCTTCCGACGAGCAAAAGCCAATAGAGGAAGCCAGATTCACCTGCAACTTTAACAGCTGCAGGGATTTGCTTAACAGGCGCGGCAAATCAGGTCATAAAATGGGGCACAATTCACTTAAGCACCTAGCGGGAGAAAACGTGGGGTCCGTTGTGGGCGAAAGCCGAGGACTGCTGTCCCGAAAAGGGCTCTGATTAAGCATCTAACTACCGGCGTGGTTGGTAATCAGGGGCGCCTAAACAAGGAGCCCACCAGAAGCTTCATTTCATGCCCAGGTGCTTCTTCATAGCCTGGAGACCCCGCAGGCTGATGCCGCTCCCCCCACACACGATGAGGACTATGGACTCCAAGGCCTGGCTTAGCCTTCCCTCTTTCTGCAGCTGCTGTAGGTAGCCTGAATATAGGAGGGCTAGTGAGGCACCACAAGCCGGTTCCACCAACATCCGTTCATCATCTGAGAAAGAGACAAGAAGCAACTGGTCAGCCGGTCAGAAGCAGAGAATGGGATGGCAGCCAATCAGAAAAGCAGAAAGAATGGGGCCAGCCAGGAATCCAGAAGCAAGGGAGGTCTGAATTGGAGAAGGACCTTCAGAGGTTCTAAGCTGGCTCTCCTGCCTGCTTTGTAGAATTGAGGGGTATGTCCTGTTTTATTCATCAGATTAGAGCTGGGAGGAGCCTTAGAGGTCATCTAGTCCAACCCTTTGCTCAAGCAGGAGACCTTGTACCCTTTCAGACAAGTGGTTGTCCAATCTCTTCTGGAAAACCTCCAGTATCGGAGCACCCACAACTTCTGGTGGCAAGCTGTTCCACTGGTTAATTGTTCTCACTGTTAGGAAGTTTCTCCTTAATTCCAGGTTGCTTCCCTCCTTGATTCTAGTCTTCTACTCAAAGGGGTGTCCAGCTGGAAGAATGTCAGACCGAATCTTGCCAGGCTAAAGCTACAGCTTTCTAACCCAGTGTTTCCCAACCTTTTGCAACTTTAAGACTTGTGGATTTCAAGTCCCAGAATTGCCCAGCCAGTCGTAAGTCAAGGACTACTTGTCATTCGGAAAGAAGTCCCAACAGTGCTTTTTTTCCAAAGGCAAGTGGACTTTGTTTTTTCCTTGAAGACCATTTGGCTTCTCATCCAAGAAGCTTCTTCAGTTCTGCTGAAGAACTGAAGCAGCTTCTTGGATGAGAAGCGAAACGTCTTCAAGGAAAAAAACAAAGTCCATTTGTCTTTGGGAAATGAAGGTCTGGACATGTTCATGGAGTCAACCACAGGAGATGCGCAATGAATTCTCTAGAGTTGTGTCTCTCTCTTTTCAGGACTCGAAACAACCACCCAACCTCCTGCTCCATCTTTCAAGGTCAACCTCCGAAACTCACCCAGAAACTGCTCCACAGCTTCCACAGCTTCCACGTCCTCCAAAACGTGAGAGATGATTGGACATTCCTTGGTACAATCTAGGGCCCTCTGAGCCACCGTCTTAGCCCCAAGGCACTTGGCCACACTGCAGAATGATGAATAACAACAACAACAAAAAAAAAAAACCCGGGTAGAAAAGATCAGCTATCAAAGGAAGGCGGTGGAGTTACCCTACAGTTTCTTCACAGATGTATTTCGCTGTATTTCCCCCCCCCCACACACACTTGTGTCACAAATCAGGTTTACAATTTGGAATAAGAATGTAAAATCCTGACTGATCCATCACAGGCTAAGAAGGAAAGAGAATGGGTGGAGCTTCTGTTTTGATAATACAATAGAGGGAGGGAGGGAGGGAGGGAGGGAGGGAGGGAGGGAGGGAGGGAGGGAGGAAAAGAAAAAAGAGGGAAGGAAGGAAAGAAGATGAAAGTGATGAAAAGGGAGGGAAGAAGGAAGGAAGGAAGAAAAAGAAAGAAAAGAAGAGAGGGAAGGAAGATGACAGGAAAGAAGGAAAGAAGATGAAAGTGATGAAAAGGGAGGGAAGAAAGAAGAAAAGAAAGTGATGGGAGGGAGGAAAGAAGATGAAAGTGATGAAAAGGGAGGAAGGAAGGAACGAAGGAAGGAAGCAAAGAAGATGAAAGTGATGAAAAGGAAGGAACGAAGGAAGGAAGCAAAGAAGATGAAAGTGATGAAAAGGGAGGAAGGAAGGAAGGAAGCAAAGAAGATGAAAGTGATGAAAAGGGAGGAAGCAAGCAAGCAAGCAAAAAAGATGAAAGTGATGGAAACGAGGGAGGGAGGGAGGGAGGACTCTTCTACAGCCTTGTAGTGAAGTTCAACTCCAGACCAGGACGTACCTGGTGATATCGGGCAAAGTGACCAGCTGGCCAGCCTGGATGGCTGCATTAAAACTCTCAGCTCCTCTGGTCTCCACAGCAATGATGGGGACATCCGACCAGCCCACTTCCTGCAGGCCGGAGACCACTCCAGCCAGAAGACCCCCACCTCCCACCGACAGCACAATGGCTCCCGGCCGGGTCACTAGGGCGCCCTTCAGCTCCTTGACGATGCTGCTGTGTCCTTTCCTGCAAGGAGAGGGGGGGGGGCCGGGTCATCCGAGCCACTCCCCAAAGTTGCCTTGGGGGCAGGAGGTCTGTTCCAGACTGAGGGCAAAGCTAGCGCAGTCATTTAAGTCACGTTGATTTATTTATTAGATTTTTAGTTACTTTTTTGAATAGTTGAAAAGCATCTCCAATGCAACCTCGACTTAACAGCCGTTCGTTTAGTGACCGTTCAAAGGGACAACAGCCTTGAAAAAAGGCACCCATGACCCTTTTCCACACTTAACGACTGTTGCGGTATCCCCACGGTCCCGTGATCGGAATTCAGAGGCTTGGCAACTGGCATGTACTTATGACGGTCTCAGTGCATTGACTCACGGGATCCCCTTTTGCGACAATTTCTGACAAATTCAGCCGGGAAGCCGGAGTCACTCAACAACCCCGTCGCTAATTTAAGAACCACAGTGATTCCCTTAGGAGGTTATAACATGGGGCAAAACCCCCTCCCCAAATGTCTCAGTGACAGAAATGGGTCAATGGTAGTCGTAAGTTGAGGACTCCTTTCTCTTCCAAAAGTTGAATGGCCTAGAACTCAGGAGAAACTTCCTGACAGTTAGAACAATTAACCAATGGAATTACCTGCCTCCAGAAGCGGTGAATGCTCCAACACTGGAAGTTTTTAAGAAGAAACTGGACACCATCTGTCTGAAATGGGATAGGGTTTCCTGCCTGAGCAGCGGGTGGGACTAGATGACCTCCAAGCTCCCTTCAACTTTATTATTATTATTATTATAGACGTGAACCTCACGTCAACTGAACATTCAAATTGACTGGCACTAATGGTTGACACCATTATCATTATTATTATTATTATTATTATTATTATTATTATTATTATTATTATTATCATCAGCAGCAGCAGCATCCTCATCATCATCATCTTGGAATAGATTTCTTACCAGACTAGTGGGTGGTCAAAAGGATGGATATTGACCCAACCGTCGGTCTTAGCTAGCACCATCGCTCGCTCATTAGCATCGTCCCAGACCTGCCAGGATGACCAATAGGGAAAACTCGAATTCAGTGGAAAGCAGTATAAAATCAAGAAGCATGACATCCCCTAAATCAGGGGTCCCCAACCCCCAGTCTGTGGCCGCAGCATGCCAGCAACTGGTCCATGCAAACAAGCGAAGCCCCGTCCGTGGGATGCAGGCAGCCCACGAAACCACGTCCCCCTCCGGTCCGTGGAAGAATCTTTCTCCACGGAACCAGTCCCTGGTGCCCCAAAGGTTGGGGAAGGAACTCTGCCTTAAACAATCCTGTGCGGTGAATCGGGCTGGAAAGGGTTAGGCTGGGTTAGGCTGAGGGAGTAGAGTAGAGTAGGAGTAGAATACAACAGAGTAGAGTAGAGTAGAGTAGAGTAGAATAGAATTACAGAATAGAATAGAATTACAGAATAGAATAGAATAGAATAGAATAGACAATAGAATAGAATAGAAAACAATAGAATACAATAGAATTACAGAATAGAATAGAATTACAGAATAAAATTACAGAATAGAATAGAATAGAATTACAGAATAAAATTACAGAATAGAATAGAATTACAGAATAGAATAGAGAATAGAATAGAGCTGGAATTCAGATCCTTTGTTTCTAACATTTAAAAAATGAGAGGCATTTGAGCCTCTGCAGTCTTCTGAATTTTTCTTCCCCGTAGCAGCCCGAAGCCCTTCCTTAATTCTGGGATATTTTTAATTTCTCCCCCTTTTTACCTTCCCAAAGATTTCCACGTTTGCTCCGTACTGCTCGAGCCTCTTTATCGTTGACTCCGTGGCGCTTTGGGGCACGACGATTGTGGCGGGCACCCCCAGTTCCCTGGCTGCGTAGGCTGCAGCCAGACCAGCATTTCCACCTGTAAGGATTTGGAGGAGCAGGAGGAGGAGAGGGAAAATTGCTTTCTATGGGACTCTCAGGGGCTTTGTCAAGAGGCAAGGGGGCTTCCCTTGTTTTTCCTTGAAGGCGTTTCGCTTCTCATTCAGGAAGCTTCTCCCATTCTGATGGAATGGTGGGGAGGCGGGGGGGGGATGGAAGGATCTACAGCTGGTCCTTGACTTATAACCGTCTGTTTAGGGACCGTTCGACCACAATCAAGCCTGACATTTCTGTTGCTTTTGTGAAGTGAATTGCCCCATTTTACGACCTTCCCTGCCCCCGTTGTTAAATGAATCACTGCAGTTGTTAAGTTGTAACACGGTTGTTAAGTGAATCCCACTTCCCTTGTCAGACGGTCGCAAAAGGGGGTCAGGTGACCCTGGGATGCTGCGACCGTCATAAATAGGAGTCTGTTGCTGAGCATTTGAATTTTGACCCCATGCTATAACGGCCGTAGGTGTGAAAAATGGTCGTAAGTCTTTTTTTTTCAATGCCGTTGTAACTTTGAACGGTTACTAAGTGAACGGTTGTAATATGAGGACCACCTGTATGCCCAAGACGGACAATATCTTTCAGGTTCGCAAGAAATGGGTGTATTTTGCAATAATATTTGGAGCAAGACTGCCCTTGTGTACACGCCAGAAGGCTTAAGATAGGAAAGCAACCAGCAGCTCATCCATCCAGGAGTTTCTGTTCCAGATGTGCAGAAAGACCAGGGAAACAGAGCAACTGTTTACCTGAGGAACAGACCAGGTGTTGACAGCCCTCCTTAGACATCTGAAATAAAAAGCAGATTTGTGTGTGTGTATGTGTGTGTGTATGAAGAGGTGCAAAGCAAAACAGGTGCAAACGAAAACCAGAAGCGGCTTCCCTTCCGTGCTGTGGTTCTTCCAAAGGTCCCACCTGCATCTCACCTGTTTCCAGTGTGCAGGTGAGCATCTCCCACTTCCTCTCGCCTCCCCCCCTCTGTTGAAAAAAAAAAGGCACCCCCAAAAACCAGCGATTTGGAGACCAGGTCGGAAGCGCCTCAGGGCGTCCCCGCAACCCGTTTGCAAATGCAGGAAGTCCTTGACGTATAGCAACAATTGGGCCCCAAATTTATGTCAATCAGCGAGACTTTTGTTAAAGCGAGTTTTGCCCCGTTTTGCGAACATTCTTGCTGCAGTTGTGAAGTGGATCATTGCTAGTAACATCATAGTTTGGGGCATCTGCCTTTCCCGTGGACTTGGTTTGTCAGAAGGTCGCAAAATGGGATCACGTGACACACACACACACACACACCCGCGGGGACAGTGCGACCATCCTAAATGCGAGTCAGTTGCCAAGCGTCGGGATTTTGATCACGGAACCTCAGGAATGTGGCAACAGTCGTAAGTGTGAAAAAAACGGTCACTAAATGAACTGTTGTAAGTTGAGGACTTCTTGTATACAACTCTCCCCGGTCACATATGGTTGTGACAAGTGCCGGGGACATTCCCTGTTGTCCACAAAGCTTACCTGTCTTGCCTCAGCCACTCACCTGTTGGCAAAAGTAGCCAATACCTCGGATTTTGAAGGAGTTGGTTGGCTGGACATTTTCCAGCTTCATGTAGACTTTGGTTCCAGCGGCTTGGGAAAGAGCCACACTTTCCAACAACGGCGTCTCGGTGTGAAAGGGCCTTTCGACACCCCCATCAGGCAGGGTCTCCATGGGGGGGGACACGGGGGCCAGATATATTAACTATATGAAAAAAAAAAAAGTCTGGTAGATCAGGCCCCGGGTCCCTCAAAAGCTCCGCATTCTTTCGGATTAAGGCTTAATGAACGGTTAACTGATCTGGCTCCTCTTTTCTATCATCTCCTTCTAAGTTTTGTGTACAATAATAATATGTATTGTGTACAGCGTATCGTACGGTGGCGTTTTGTTCCTTTGCTATTGTTATATTTACGTTTTCATTTTTTTCCCCTCCCATTTGGTTGTTGTAAGCCACCCAGAGTGGCCCAACAGCGAGACGGCAGCAAATAAATTTAGCAAATAAATTAGAAAGGAAGGAAAGAAGGAAGGGAGGGAGGGAGGGAGGGAGGAAGGGAAAGAAAGACAGACAGACAGAAAAGAAAGGCAGACAGACAGAAAAAGAAAGAAAAAGAGAAGGAAGAAAGGAAAGGAAGGAAAGAGAAAAAAAAGAAAGAAAGAGAAAGAAAGGAAAGCAAGCAAGAAAGAAAGAAAAGATCAAATTCCAGCCCAGGAGAGTTGGTTTTTCCCCAAACTCCAAACCTTCCCAACATCCACCACCAGACCCTCGCTGGGTTTCAGGCCTCCTCCAGAAACCTTACCTCGTTCCTCAAGACCAGTTCTTTGTCTCTCTTCCTCCAAAGAAGAAGACTCTGTCCTCTGAGCAAAGTTTAGAAATGGAGGAGGGAGGCGGAAAAATGCCAAGGATGACGCTGGAGGCTGCTGCTGTGTGTGTGGGGTGTGTGTGTGCTGTTGTGTGTGAAAGAGAGGACGAGATTGTGAAAGGCCGTTGCGTTAGCAATCCCTCGGAGACCTGGAACTCTTTAATCTTCAGTTGATATGACATGTTGCCTTCTCAAGGATTTGCAGGGAAAATTAAACTGGGGAGGGAGGAGAGTTATTTAGCATACTTCTTTATTTTCTCTCTTCACTAATTATTTTTTCAAAAAGAAAAGAGGGTGAGGGAGACTGAAGCGTAAGATGAACCAAGAACTGGGTAAGTCTAGTCTTATGAAGAGAAGGACTAGGGGAGATGGGATAGCAGTCTTCCAATGCTTGAGCAGGGGGCTGGGCTGGACTAGAAGACCTCCAGGGTCCCTTCCAGATTCTACTCTACTCTACTCTACTCTACTCTACTCTACTCTACTCTACTCTACTCTACTCTACTCTACTCTTATTATTATTTGAGGGGCTGTCTCCGAAGCATCCGAAGGACTTTGTAACTTTTCATATCTCTCCACCTCTTGCCTTTTGCTGTGGTGTTGTAGCATCTGTTGTGGATGTCACAATTGTTGGAACTTGACCCTTCACCCATTCCTACCCAGAGGGAGAAAAATTCTGGAATTCCTTTGCAATTCTGAGAATCGGACATGGAGAGGACGGTCTTCGGTGTTTCTGGGGCTGTGTCAACCACGTTTTCGGAGGCCCTTTAAGCACCTGTGAAGATCTCCCCCCCACACACACTTAGATCTCTGTTGGGGCACAGTCCCTCCTATATAATCCAACCTAATGTGATTGGCTAAAAGGTGGGTAATTCAAACTAACGTGATTGGCCCTCTACTTCCTCTATCAAGTGCAGGAAAAATTGGGAAGTCCGCTTAAACTGAATGCAAAGGTTTAGTGCAAGCTCTTGCTCTCTACAAGAATCTGAGCTACTAAAGGTTAAAGCAAATTAGTGGTAGATAAGAGATCTCTTGTGAGCATGCAGGGACTTGAAACTGATGACACATTTGACACCTCCCTCAGGCTCAGCCTGGTCATCTCCAAAATCAGGTTTATTTCATGCTAACGTTAAACCAGAATCTGAACTACTAACGGTCAAAGCAAATCGGCGGTAGAGAAGAGTCAGCAGAATTCAAGGAGGGCTGGACTCAGATCTCTTGTGAGCACACGGAGATTCAAGACCAGTGACACGTTTGACCCCCCTCCCTCAGGCTCAGCTTAGTCATCCTCTCCTGATCATTTTTTCCCCCCAATCAAGTTTAAAAGTAGCAGTCTCAACTACCCAGAATTACAGATAGTCCTCAACTTACAATTGTCCGTTTAGTGACTATTTAAAGTTAGAGCAGCGTTGGGAAAAAAAGTGACTTACAATCAGTCCTTGCCCTTAAGACTGCTGGAGCGCACCCACTGTCACACCATCAACATTCAGACAATTTTCAACTGGCACGTATTTACCAAGCATCTCGGGGTCACATGACCACCACCCCCGTTTGCAACCTTCCCAGCTGTCTTCCCACAAGGAAAATCCACGGGGAGGGGGGGGAGGAAGCCGGATTCTCTTAGTGACCATGGGATTCCCTTAGCCACTGCTGCAACCTGCTGAACAACTTTGTCGAAAAGGTCGTAAAATGAGGCCTGACTCACGTCTACAACCACCTAAGGTTAGCGACGGAAATTCTGGTCCCCGTTGGAAGGAGTTCCAATTCACAAAGCAAGCCTTATGACCATTGCACACGCGCGCACACACACACACACACACTTGAGCAGGGGGCTGGACTAGAAGACCTCCAAGGTCCCTTCCAGCTGTATTCTGATCGATTTTTTGTTGTTGTCCATCTCTTCTTCAACGGCATCTGATCAGAACTGGCTGGTCATTTTTCAGAAAGCTGATGAGCCTGCCTATTCAGGAGCACTTGCTCTGATCCACAAGATCCAGAAAAGCAGAGTCTCTGGTTCTCTCCCGTCTGCTGTAAAAGCTCTCCAGAAAGATGCACAAGCCGTGATGTTGTGATCCTTTGGTACAACTTTCTTCTTTCTTTTCCCTGTGTGCAGTTGTTCTTTTTTCAAAAGCCGATGGCGCAGAAACTTTTAAATAAAACGAAGGAGGCAGAGGAGGGGGAGACCTGGGAAAGGGTGGATGGATACAGGGGGGGGGGGTGTCCACGAAGCTGACAGCTGTGAATAGAGTTCGTTTTGCTTATTGATTTACTTGGATTGGAGGGGGGGGGGAGAGGTTTTCCCGATCTCGCTCTCCATCCGGATCCAGCCACCCGACCTGGTTTGAGCCGGTTTTGGTCAGAGTGAAGGGTCCTTTTGTCTTTTCAGCCCCCTCCCCTGCCTGCCTGCCCCCCCTCCTCGCCCTCCACAAACCAGCCAACGAGGCCAGGCCATCTCCCCTTTTGGAATTGAAATGACAGAAGTGGGCTGCAAACCCTCCCTTAACCTCACCAACCCTCATCCTTTTTGCTCTTTTTTTTTTTTTTCCCTCCAGCTGGAATTTTGGGTTTGGAACGGGGAAAGGAGGGATGTCATCGGAGATCAAGGGGGTAGTCTTGGGGGGTGCCTGGTTGCCTCCCCTCATTGGCCCCCAAGCCAAGACCAGCAGCTTATAAAGTGGGAGAGAAGGACCCTATGTTGTCCAGTTGTTCAAGATCAAAGCTGCCTGTGAGAAGAAGACCCCCTCCCCTAAAAGTAACAGTATTGGCCTCCATCCCTTGAAAATCACCAAGACCACCTCAACACCCGTCGCTTTTGGCAACCCATTTTCCACAGCCTTCTCTGGGCCTCTCTGGGGTAAGTGTATTTTTGTTTCTCAGCTGTTTTTTTTCTGAGTCGCTTAAGTAACTCAGAAGGAGCCCCCCCCCACGTTCAACCTCTGGATTAGCAGCAGATGAGAAGGCTTGGGGTGTCAGATAATCGAGAGGCTGGGTCTTATGGCTAAGGAATTGGCTGGAGGGATGATTTTGTTTCAGCAGGGTGATGCCTAGGAACAGACGAAGTTGCGTGATCTCTTATTCAGGGAGAAAGTAAGAAAGGCTTTTAAATACATTTTTCTTCTTCTCTCTCCTTGTTCGTGTAATTCCTTGATTAAAGGGGCAAAAGAGAATTGAATAGGTAGGGATAGATAGATAGATAGATAGATAGATAGATAGATAGATAGATAGATAGATAGATAGATAGATAGGTAGGTAGGTAGGTAGGTAGGTAGGTAGGTAGATTAGATAGAGAGATGATATAGAGAGATAGAGAGATTAGATAGAGAGATGAGAGATAGATGATAGATAGACAGACAGATAGATAGACAGACAGACAGATATAGGATGGATGATGGATAGATAGGTAGAAAGATGATGATAGATACATAGACAGACAAACAGACAGACTGACTCTTTGGATTCTTACAGTGGTTAGAGAAAAAATAGCTCCAACATTGGACAAAGGCACCATGCCATCCCTGATAAGATAGCCAGATAGAAGCCGGGAAACTGACATGCAGGGAACAGCTGAAATTGCACGGATTAACTTTTGAAGGAAAAAGAGCTTTAAAAACCCCACGGATTCCCTCCATGGCAGAAACGATGCGCCTTCTCCACGGCTTGCTTCCTCCTGAATAGCTGAAGGGTTGAATTTCAGCCAGACGTGGAGAAGACAGCGTCCATTTATGTAAGCACTCCTCCAGCTAGCTGGAAGGCCTGAAGTGACTCTGCTTTGACATAAGGAAGGCCTTTTACACATCTGGGCTGCAAAGATCCAGATAGCCAAAATCTGTTTGTGTATGTGTGTGTATAGGTGTGTGTGTGTGAGAGAGAATGTAGATTTAAAAAGTATGCAATTGTTCTTGATTTCAATCATGCTGGATCTCACCATCTTTCATTTCTCAGTCTTCTAGAATGACTCCTCCTGATCACCTCCATGTGAACACACCTCTGAGAGAAAGCGTCCCTCTCTCTAAATTGGCTGGCACTAAGGTCTACCTCAAACTGGAGTGTGCCCAACCCACAGCTTCTTTTAAGATACGGGGCATTGGGAATTTCTGCAAAACGGTATGTTTTCCAGTGGGACACGAAGGGGGTGGTCAAATTCACCTTGAAGCCAAGGCTGTGCCTGGGAAGAACCAAACTCAGCCAATTAGTTGATATTTTTTTTTTTTTTTTAAAAAGAGAATTATGGAATCCTTGAGTCAGAAGGTAGTATACAGACCAGCTTCTGCTCAGTCCAGGATCTGCTAGAGCATCTCTGATAGATGATCATCCATCCTTTGTTTGAAGGCCTCTCATGCTTACGTGGGGATAATGAAATAGCCAGTGTTGTAGATGTTAGACGCCTAAGGAAAAATCCTTCTAGTTTTTTTAGGCAGGTAGTTTTTGACATCTTCAGTCGGTTGAAATTCTCTTCTGCAGTCAAGAACGTCGCCTTCTCACGTTTCTGCTTTTGCTTCCACAGTGGGTGGAACGAGAATGCCAGCATTTCATCACGTCCTCAGGTAAATGGATGCCTGTGGCAGCCTTCCAAGAGATAGGAGTGTTGGGTCGGCATATATGTGAGAAACGGGGCGGTGGTAACGAGAGATGAAAGCTATTAGTTGATCCCAGCCTATTGGATGATGTATCGTAACAATAACATGACTGAGCTGTGAACGTGAAGGTTTATATTCTATCTCCATTCTCAACAACTTTCCATAAGTCACGATGAAAAGTATGGAAGGCAACCACCACCATAACATAGGAAATGGGTCCTTCAGGGTTGCTGCCTGCTAAGGGGAGGGCGGTTGAAGTTGAGCTAGTCAGTGGTTCAAGACCTTAGCGCCACACGATGGGGTGAGCTCCCATCACTAGCTCCAGCTCCCGGCCACCTAGCAGTTCGAAAGCATGCAAAATGTGAGTAGATAAATAGGTACCACTTTGCTGGGAAGATAACACCTTGGTGTATAGTTAGGCTGGCCACATGGCCACAGAAGCATTTGCAGATGATGCTGGCTTCCTAGGCTAAGAAACGGACAGTCGGACAAGGTCCCTTCCACCCTGTTATTCTGTGTTCTGTGTCATGTCAAACAACCTTCCCTTTCAGCTGGAAATGCTGGCCTTGCGGTTGCGTACTCTGCCCGAATGTTGGGGATCCCAGCCACCATTTATGTGCCTTCCTGTACCCCGGCTTTCACCATCGAGCGACTGAAGGAAGAAGGCAGCTCTGTGTACGTTGAAGGAGAGGTAGGTCTGGAGAGAGGGGACTGAGGAACAGCGTCTGAAGGCCTGATGTTACAATTGGAACAGACTTTTCTTGCCAAGCAAGGCAACCGTTGAGTCAGTCACGTCTCACTTAATGGCCTCGTTGGCCATGGCTGTTGACCAAATCACTGCAGTTGTTAGGTGAATGATACAGTCATTAAGCGAGTCCGGCTCCCCCTCCTGATTTTGCTTGTCAGCAGCCAGCAGGAAAGGTCACAAGGGGTGATCACGTGACCCCGAGATATATGTACATACCTGTTGCCAAGGGCCCAAATTTTGATCATGTGACTGGGGGGATGCTGTGACGGTTGTCAGCGAGAGGGCTGGTTGTAAGCCATTTGTTTCAGTGCTGTTGTGTCTTTGAATGGTCACTAAATTGGTAGTTGTAAGCTGAAGGCTGTCTGTGGTTGTGGTTCTTCTCGGTATCTTGATCTAACAAAGGAACTCCACCTCCCCAGATATTAGCAGACAGCACAAAAGCAGCTAAAGAGCTGGTGAAGAACAATCCTGAGTGGGTCTATGTGCCTCCATTTGATGACCCCCTGATTTGGTAAGTGGTCCTCAGAGAGGTCTCTAAAGAAGTACACATCCTCCTCCTCCTCCTCCTTTCTTCTTCACCTCTCCTTCTCCTCTCCCTCCTCTTCTTCATCCCTTCTCCCCTGCCTTCTCCATTAAATCTACATGATTCAGGATGGGTCAGTTAGGTGAAGAACTGGGGGTCCTCTAGCTACTGAGTAATTACAGGTCCCAGAATTCCTTGCTTTTGACCCCTGGTTGCAAAAGATTCTTCTTCTTCTTCTTCTTCTTCTTCTTCTTCTTCTTCTTCTTCTTCTTCTTCTTCTTCTTCTTCTTCTTCTTCTTCTTCTTCTTCTTCTTCTTCTTCTTCTTCTTCTTCTTCTTCTTCTTCTTCTTCTTCTTCTTCTTCTTCTTCTTCTTCTTCTTCTTCTTCTTCTTCTTCCTGTTCCTCTTCTCCCTCCCCCTCCTCCTCTCCTCCATTAAATTTATAGCTTCATTTTTCCTATAAGAGCTCAAGATTGCCTTCCATCCTTTAATTTTGTCCACACTCCCCTGCACTTGATCTTGGCTGACAAGACCCAGAAGAAATTCCTTACCCAGTTATCTTGCTTGGCTTCGGGGGGGGGGGCTTTATTCCTTTACCTCCCATTGCATAAAGAATGGATTAATTATATTATAGCCAAAAGGTAAAAAAGGTTATGGCCTTTATGAAAAGATCTGCAAGCCACAGGCATCCGTGGCAAATTAATAGGAATGACATAGAACAAGTTCTATTTTTTTTTTTAATATAGCTAGGAATTGTTTTTCATACCTGTAGCACATGGAAAGTCCAACTAAGACCTATTCCAAAGACTGCCCAAAGGAACACACAGGGCATTCTTACTTTCTTTTATGCCGAGATGGAAATTACATCCTCAAAGCAATGAAAGGGTTTGGAGGCCAAGGTGATAAATCAATTTTTGTGTGAAGCCCAGAGCTGTCCATAGAACGACTGTAAGATGCCATTGGAGGACATTCAGTTCAAATTTCTCAGAGCCAATTTAGGCTCCCTGGCTATATATCAAATGTTTTTCCCCCATTTGGTTTCCAGGTGGTTCTAAGTCAAAGTCCAAAATACACCTCTGCCATTTTGTTGACTTAGCTAAGTTTGATCTGCTGAGTTTCAAGGAACGTTGTGCTATACAAGGCAGTCCTTGACTTACGAGCACAACTGGGACCTGCAATGGTTAAGGGGGATGTGGAGGACGCTGCAATAGCCGTAAGGACGGGGACCAATTGTACGTCACCTTTTTTCAGGAATATTGTAGCATCAAACCATCACTATTTCTTTTAGGATTCTCCTTCTCCCCCCCAGCTTTCAGACCTCTTGGGAAACCAGACAGGACACAAAACTAGATGAGCTGCATCTATTTTATGATAACGTTAACATTAGCAGGACCTTAGCAAGTCTGACAGTACAAATCTCCTGCCCCGATTGATTAATCAGGATGGATCCTTCTTAAATTTCTTCCTGATTGTTAAGCCACTCTTATCTAATTGTTTCCTAGGCAGCCACTCTTCCCCTGGTTCCCCAAGGTCATCTGCACATTACACTCCACCAGACAAGCAGAGTTTCTGGGTTAGCATCCTGGTGCCCCATCAGGACCTGGATAGAGGAGAGTCGGGACAGAAATTTTCACCCACATCGGTCTCATTTTCTCCCCAAGCGTCTCTCTCTTCTCCTGCTTCCTCAGTTCTTTGCTAAGGCCGTTCGGCTCACCCCTGCTTCTCTCCCTTCCAGGGAAGGTCACATGTCTCTGGTCAGGGAGATGAAAGAGCAGATGGCCTCCAGGCCTGGCGCCATAGCCCTCTCTGTGGGAGGAGGGGGCATGCTCTGCGGAGTGATCCAAGGCCTGCGAGAAGTGGGCTGGGATGATGTGCCGGTGGTTGCCTTGGAAACCAGAGGAGCTCAGAGCCTGAATGCGGCCTTGGCCGCTGGGAAGCTGGTGACACTTCCTCAAATTACCAGGTGAGATGGTCCAGAATGAGCAGCCCAGGCTGAGAAGAACTAGGGCTGTTTCGGTCAGTTTCTTAATGGCTGCCTTTCATACAACCAACTGGACGGTCGTTGACTTGAGACCCTTTCCTCCTCCACACAGGATGTTGTGCAGGCCACAACCAAACAAATCACAATTGGGTTGAGTATCAAGGGTGAACCCCCTTTGAATCTGAAAAATAGGGCCTCTATCTTAAAGGGTTGTAGAAGCTCATTGGGGTTTATTCAGTAGTACAGGTTAAACAAACAAGGGTTTGGTGCAAGGAACCAGGCCACGACGACACTTATCTTCCTTTCCGGATTCAGTGTCGCTACAACTCTGGGAGTGAGCGTCGTGGCAGCAGAGACTCTGAAGCTGGCTCAGGAGCATCCCACTTTATCGGTGGTGGTCACGGATCAAGAGGCGGTGGAAGCGGTTGAAAAGTTTGTGGGTATGCTCCTGGCACACTCGACTTATCTTGTCCCTCTGTGTCACTATTTCTATCTCTATTTTCACCTTAATTTAAAGCTCAACTTCTACTTCTTCCATCTCCAGCTCTTCATTGTCTTTATTTCTATCTTTACCTCCATGTCCACCTCCTACCTTTAACTTATCTTTACCTGCCTCTCCATCTCCATCTTCCTCTCCACCTCCACCTTCACCTCCTATTTTTACCTTCATTGTTGTTATCCATATATATCTCCACCTATCTTTATCTTTATCTTTACAGTCATTTGTCCTGAATGGTGTAGGGTTGGACTAGAAGATCTCCAAGGTCCCTTCCAACTTTGTTATTCTGTATTTTGAATTGTACAGCAGAACATGGCAGGTTTTCCCTGGCAAAAGTACTTTCCTTCAAAAAGTGCCAGCCATTTGAACATCCCTTTCCAGCATAGATACATTATCTTATTTCTTGGTAACCCTTTCAGCTTTAATCTTATTGTCACTTGCTCTTCAAGCTTTTAGTTAGATAATCCTACTAGAGCTGAGCTGAAAAAGATCACTAGGGGGCAGCAAAGAGTACAATAAACATATTCTTCTTGGCCATCTAGTGGCCAGCCAATTTAACGGTCTCAGATTTACAATGATGCTCAAACCATGGACACCAATTTCATCTCCTCGCTGCATTCAGTGGGTTAAGACCCCATTTCCCCACCACTCACAGATGATGAGAAGATCCTGGTAGAGCCTGCTTGTGGGGCTGCCTTGGCCATTGTCTACAGCGGGATGGTCCAAAAGCTACAAGCAGAAGGCAAGCTGACGCCCCAGCTGGACTCTCTTGTGGTGATCGTGTGTGGAGGAAACAATATCACACTGGCCCAGTTAAAGCATCTCAAGGCACAACTCGGCCTCTCGAAAGATGAGGAGCAGTGGGATGATGACGTAGAAGAGAGCCACATTGCGATGGCCATGTGTTCTTCACGAAACAAAGCTTTCCGGGCTTCGTTGCAGAACCACTGACCACCCTACGCTTATTAAAACTCCGTTGCCTCATGCTGTCTTCCTTCCTTCCTTGGCTTCTAACTTACACAAAGGTGTGCAACAGGAACATGCTGGTGGGAATGGTGGTCTGGGTCTTCTCCCTTAAAAACTTGATTGGATCACCAATCAAGAGGCCAGTGCTAGGTCACTGTCAGAAGGTGCTTAAGTCTTCCAACTATCTAGTAGAGTTGAAGCCCAGTTGTGGTGGCCATGGAGCATGTTCTCCTGGCTTTGGAGACCATCCCTCAAGGCTGACTACTGGTTCCTCCTGGACAAGGAAAGAGATCAAAGAGTTTCTTGTTCCAGTTGGATCCTACCTCTAGCAATTTCCTCCTAGGGAACCTTTTCAGTTTGGACAATCAGAAAGGTTCCAGAGTGATAGAAATACAGGTAGTCCTCCACTTATGACTAGTAACATAATGACCATTTGAAGTTACAATGGACTTCCCTGGAGTATTTAAGACCCAGATTTGAAGTTTGGATGGCCATCCTCCCTGAAGTCAGATGACCTCATTTTGGGTGTTCAGCAGCACCCGGTCCATATTTATGGCCATTTGTAACATCTCACTGTCACGTGACCACATTTCACAATGGTTTGGATGAAAACCGGGCAGTTCCTTCCGGTTTTCAGCCCAACGGCCCCTAGCCAACTATTGGTTCAGTTAATGACCGCAGTGTCATTTAATGACCACCGCAAAAAAGATCATACAGTCAGACCAGTCATATGTTTGTAGTCCTGATTTACGATGGTCGTGGCTTACAGTCATAAGGGACATGTTCCATTATGGTCATAACTTGAGGACTACTTGTATGTGTACAGCGGAACCCGTTCTTCTGTGGCCGGGGGCTTCTGCTTTCAGTCCTGAGGGCAAATAACTTGTCTTTGAAAAATCCGTTTCTCTTTCCGGAGAAGATCCCATCGGCCAAAGGAGATGTTGAAAAAGACCATCAGTATCCTGCTTTAGTCATTCATATTTTACTTCAATAGCCAAGAGTTGCCCACTTTTCCTTCCTTCCGTGTATCTGTCATTCCTTTTCCCTACACAGTACAATAGTCTGTCTCCCCCCACCCACCCACCCACCCACCCAAAGCTGCTCCTGGTGCGAACAATTAAAAAAAATCCTGATCATTAAAAAAAAAACTGGTAATGTCTTCTCTTTCTTTTCCTGTCACTCTTTTAAAAGCCATAAAAATAAACGCATGAATAAATGAATAAGAATACATAAGTGAACGAATGAATGAAAAAGCCTGGACGTTGTTCATTTAAATCCTGTTTTATAGATACATACAGTAGATCCTAAAGAGAGTCAAGCTAACTCTGTGTGCTGAGGCTTACACACACAGAGAGAGAGAAAGAAAGAAAAAAAGAAAGAAAGAAGGAAAAGGAGAAAGAGGAAGAGAAAGAAAGAAAAAGAAAGACAGAGAGGATGAGAGAGAGGAAGAGAGAGGAAAAGGAGAGAAAAAAAGACAAAGGGAGAGAAGAAGAGGAAGAGAAACAAAAATAAAAAGAGAGAAAGAGAGAAAAAGAGAGAGAAAGCCACAAGTACAATGGGGTCCAACGTCTGTGTGTGTGGGGGGTCTTATTTCAAAAGAATACTGGAGAAAGACAGCCCTAGATACAGCCTCAAACCTGGATAATTTTCAAGAACACATCCAAGCCATTCCAGCCAGAAACAAGCGCATTCACAAGCAGATGGGAGCCCTATTAGAGGAACTGCCTCAGGAGAGGTGGGGAAAAAAAAAATCAAATAAAAGGCTGTCTATTTGCTAAGCTACAATGGAGATCGTCCTTGAATCCCCCTCCTTGTTCATCAGCGGAGGGAGAGTCTCCCTTTGTCAGGGGACTCAACTATCTTGGAGTGCTTTGGCCTTAACGCTGGCTGTGTGAAAATTGCAACTCCCAGGGAGCAGTGCCAGGCATCACAAAAGGAACAAGCGGTACGGGTGGGCTCCGTCAACACCACGGCTGGGGAAGGCAAATGATGTTCAGTGTAACAACTGGAGTGGGGGGAAAGTAGAGTTTCCTCCAGAAAGCGCAACAGGGATTGGACGACCAAGCTGTGAAGGTTTGGGACGGGTGGGATGGGGGCCCTCAGAGCAGAAAGAAAAGCCTTTGTGTCAAGGCTGCCTTTGGTTGGCTGCCTTTGTGTGCTCTTTTGATCGCTTTTTAGAAGTAGGTCAGTGTTGTTGTCTTCCAGGATGAGATGGAAAAAGAGAAGAGAAGAGCAACTAAGGTGATTCAAGGCCTGGAGGCGAAAACGCACGAAGAACAATTTTTTTGAAGAACAACGGTTGGCCGGAATTGAGTATGGCCAAGTTTAGAGAAAAGAAGGACTAGGGGAGAGATGATAGCAGTGCCACAGTATTTGAGGGGCTGCCACAAAGAAGAGGGGGGGGGGGAGTCAACTTATTTTCCAAAGCACCAGAAGACAAGGCAAGGGGAAAATGGAAGCTAATCGAGGAGACATCCAACCTAGAACTAAGGAGAAACTTCCTGAAAGTATGAACAATTAACCAGTGGAACAGCTTGCCTCCAGAAATTGTGGGTGCTTCATCACTGGAGGTTTTTAAGAAGAGACTGGACAGCCATTTGGGATGATATGGAGTCTCGGGGGGTTGGACTAGAAGACCCCCAAAGTCCTTTCCAACTCTGTTTAGTCTAGTCTAGTCTAGTGTCTAGTCTAGTCTAGTCATGGAAGAATGCAAATGACCAGTTGTTTGCAAGGAATATAAATCCTTCCCTTCCCCACCATCCAGTCAGAGCTGAAGAAGCTTCTCAGATGAGAAGCGAAATATCTTCAAAGGAAAAACAAGAAAGTCCAGTTGCCTCCTGAAAAAACACCTTTGGGACTTGTTCCTCTTGGGGAAGACTCTTTCCTTCAACTCGCAAATCTGTTCTTCAGGATTTTCTGCATGCTAGCACTTCCAAGCTTCCCCCCCCCCCAAGCCAGATGGGTTAGGAACTTAAAATATGTTTAAATGCAAACAATATGCGTTTTCTGCAGGAAGTGAAGTTCCTCCCATATCCCACTGCCCTACAGGATTGCAGCATTCACAGACCCGCTGTTCTATTTCTTCACTGTGAACTGCTCAAGCTGCTGAGAACAAAAAGGAAGAAGGCCTTCCCCGTGCTTTCCAGAAAGCCAGCCCCTGGGTGGAATCTGCACCCCAAAAGCTCCAGGTAGGTAGCTAGAATTAGGCCTACAATCCAAGCCTGGAGACCTCAGGCCCAGCGAACGCGGATGGGCGAGAATTTCCAAAGATCCGGGTGTCCCATGTGAGGTATATTGCAATACGGAGAAGAGCTCCACTGGAAAGGAGGGAGGTCATCCCAAGTAGGCCCGCTGGCCGCCAGGAAGCTGTAATTCTTCATCATTTCGAAAGAAGTCACCTGCAAAAGAGAAAAGCACAGCTTGGTTTAGGGGGAACTGCTCTGGTTTTAGCAAGCTATGAGCTAGAAGCATCCGAGACCAAGCTAAATAAATATATTAAAAAAAAAAAAACCCGCTAGGGAATCCAAGCTCTCCCTCCTATCAGCTATCGCTCCTCACCTTCACATCGGTGGCCCCGTGCCGCCGCGGGTGGAGGGCCCCGAAGGGGTAGGTGCCGTTCGCAGGGTTGAGATCGGAGCGGGCAGCAATAGCGTTTTCTGCGTTCTGGGGTGGGCTGCAGCCTTGGCACCAGGAGAGAGGATCGTGAGGGAAGTTGTTGAACCTGGGCACAAGATGAAGAGCACAGCACGTGTAACCCGGGCTCTTATTGGTTGGTCTGTCTGTCCGTCCATCCATCCTATCATATATCATCTATATCTATCTATCTATCTATCTATCTATCTATCTATCTATCTATCTATCTATCTATCTATCTATCTATCTATCTATCTATCTCTATCTACATACCTATCCATCCATTCTATATCTATCTATCTATCTATCTATCTATCTATCTATCTATCTATCTATCTATCTATCTATCTATCTATCTATCTATCTATCTCTATCTACATACCTATCCATCCATTCTATATCTATCTATCTATCTATCTATCTATCTATCTATCTATCTATCTATCTATCTATCTATCTATCTATCTATCTATCTACTTACCTACCCACCCACCCACCTATCTATCTACCTACCTACCTATCTACTTATCTATTTATCCATTCATCTATCCATCCGTCCACCCATCATCATCATCTCTTTCTCTCTCTCTCTCCCCCTCCCTCCCTCCATCAGAACACCTACTGGCTGGGGAAGTCTGGGAGTTGAAGTCAACACCTGTTAAAGTTGCCAACTTGAGGAAGGCTACTCTAGACAATCTTCAAGGTCTCTTCTAATTCTTACATCCTATGATTCTATGAACTCCTTAAGGCAACATTTATCCTTGGTTTTACCACTTTACTTATACGTAAGTGTTTTCTTGTCATATGTGCCTCCCGTCCCCCAGAAATATTACCCAAGGGTCATTCCTTAGGCAGACTTCTGGGCAGTACAAGCAAAGGTCTAACCTCATCAGTCGGATCATTGAATCCATGTCCCGTATAAGAGTTTGGTTGCGCCGGAAAATTCGTGCTCGGGGATTCTTCTCATAGGTGAACCAGTCCCCATATTTCTGAACCAATGCCGGGAGACCACTGGTGTTGAAGATATCCTGGAAATACCTAAGTGAAAAGAACCATTGTTTTAAGAATGAATTGACAGCACTGAGGCCTCTGGCTGATAAGCTATTCCTTTGGACGCCTGTGTTCTTCAGTTCGATTCTGGGTCTCTCCAGAGCCTCCAGCATGGAAAATGCGAGCTCCACCTTCTAAGTTGCAAATCCTTATCCCTCCAAACCTCCAATGGAAAGGAAGGAGGAGAAAATCCTTACGGCACATTGTAGCTTGCCCAGTAGCCTTCTTGATACAACAGCTCGGTCTTGTCGGCGGTAATCACCATTCCCCTGGAAAGACAGAAAAAGGGAAAAGGAACCAGCGTGCATTGTACCAATTGGGGGGGGGGGCTCCTTTTCCTGAAATTGGGGAAGGGAGCAACTCATAACAAAGGGTGTCAAACTGGAATTGTTCACCCAGCCCAAAGAGGAGCCCAAATCAGAGGAATCCTATCCAAGGGCCCCTTCTGCATTCTTATCCAGGGTACCTTCCAGAATTTCTGGAAAACCCATGTCAATTAGGAGCTAAGGAAGCATAGCCTAGTGGTCCCTCACCCCAGAGCTGGGCAATGCTTTCTTGCGTCTGCAAGAAAAACCACCAAGCTACAGAGAGCACCAAGGACCCCTACAGTCCTCCTCCTCCTCTTCCCCCTCCTCCTCCCAACCCCCCTCCCTTCTAGCATTGATGATGTTACCTAACTTGTGTAATGAAACGTCTGCAAGAAAACACCAAGCTCAGAGACACCAAGGACCCCACTGTCCTCCTTCTCTTCTTCTTCTTCTCCTCCTCTTCTTCTCCTTCTCCTCCCCCCTCCCCCTCTTCCTCTTCTTTTTCTTCTCCTCCTCTTCTTCTCCTTCTTTTTTCTTCTCCTCCTCCTCTTCCTTCTCCTCCTCTTCCTTCTCCTCTTCTTCTTCTTCTTCTTCTTCTTCTTCTTCTTCTTCTTCTTCTTCTTCTTCTTCTTCCTCTTCTTCCTCCTCCTCCTCCTCCTCCTCCTCCTCCTCCTCCTCCCCAAAGCCCCATCCCTTCTAGCACTGATGGTGTTACCTAGTTTGCATAATGAAACCCCCAAGCTCAGAGAGCACCAAGGACTCCTCATGTCAACCCTGAGCTATAGATATTCTCCTTGATTAAAATAGAGTTTGCAACACTTACGGAAGCTGTTCCAGCACAGTCAGGAGGCCACGTTGGGGAGCAACCGTGCCTGGCACAAAAGATTTATAATCCACAATCATCCATTGGTTATTGTACCTGTGTAAAATGAAAACAAAGGGGAGGGCTATGGGATCATCTATCTCTAGTTCACAACACAGTCCTTTCAGCAGTTCCAAGAAGGCTCCACGCCCATTTGCACCACTCAGATGACCCTGAGGACACAGATAAACCTCCAAGTGGCCTCAAGGACTCTCTGAAAGGAGGCAAATGACCAGCTGTCTGCAAAGAGTATAAATCCTCCTGTTCCCCACCATCCAGTCAGAGCTGAAGAAGCTTCTCGGATGAGAAGGGAAATGTCTTCAAAGAAAAACAAGGAAGTCCAGTGGCCTCCTGAAAAAGCACCTTTGGGATGGACAGAGAAGACACTGTAGTAAGTAGAGTAGGACTAGAAGACGGGGTGAAGATAGAGGCACCCCAAAACTCATGACCTTCACCACACCACAGTTGTTCTTCAGCACCCCAACTCACGTGCCACTGTTGAACTTCTCAAAGATGGCCGCCCATTCTTCTCCAGTCCTCGCCAGCCGATTGGCCACAATGTTGCGCAACCATTCCAACACACTGTTGTCAGCTTTGATGAACTTCCAAAGGTCACTGTTGCTGTTTCCGATGGTAGTTTCCAGACTGACCTGCAAGAGGAATACATGGTGAGCATCTCCCCTTGAACAGGAATTAAACAGTCAGGCCCACGTAGGGATTCTTCCCTTTAGATCATATGGATGTTACTTATTTATTTGTCATCCTGCCTTTATTAATTTTACAACTAACTCAAGGTGGCAAACACCACAACAACATTGTTGGTCACCCAGCTGGCTTTCATGGCTAAGGAGGGACTAGAACTCTCAAGTCTCTGGTGATTGGCCCAAAGTCACCCAGTTGGCTTTCATGCCTAAAGTGGGACTACAACTCACAGTCTCCTGGCGATTGGCCCAAAGTCACCCAATTGGTTTTTGTGCCTAAGGCAGGACTAGAACTCACAGTCTCCTGGTGATTGGCCCAAAGTCCCCCTGTCAACTTTCAAGCCAAAGACAAGACTAGAACTCACATTCTCCTGGTGACTGACCCACAGTCACCCAGTTGGCTTTCATCCTAAGGCAGGACTAGAACTCCCTGTCTCCTGGTGATTGGCCCCAAATCACCCAGCTGGCTTCCATGCCTAAGGAGGGACTAGAACTTACCATCTCCTGGTTATTGGCCCAGAGACATCCAGCCAACTTTCAAGGTTAAAGATGGACTAGAACTCACGCTCTCCCTCTTTCTAGCCTAGTGCCTTAGCCACTAGACCAGTGGTTCTCAACCTTTTTAATGCCGCGACCCCCAACCGGTCGTAAGTCGAGGATTACTCAACCGGTCGTAAATTGAGGACTACTCAACTGGTGCAGCACCATTTGCAGAATGGGACTTTTGGCGGGCTCAGCAGGGCAGAGACAGCCTGGACAATTCCTATTGGCTTTTGAAAGCCAATAGAATTAGACTATATTCAAGAGAGTCTATTCTATTGGCTTTCAAAAGCCAATAGAATAAAAGGGAGTAGCACAGCTAAGGAAAAGGGGGGAAAAATGGCGGACTGCATTGTTTGGCGACCCCCATGAAATGGTCGTTCGACCCCAAATGGGGTCCCGACCCACAGGTTAAGAACCACTGCACTAGACCAAAGTGGCTCTCTTCCTTATCTTGTCATTCCGTTCAATTATTTTTGAAAGATCTACCCACGCCTCCCTGAAGATGAATTCTTCAAACTTAAGATAAAGGAATGGGAGGGGGGGCTACAGTTTCCAAACTATCCATAACATCAAGGGACCCTGGGATTTGGCCTGTATGGAAAGCAAAACTGGTTCAGCACCCTGGACAGTGATTAAGCACTGGGCCAGGGCTGGTTCTGCTTCAGGATTACGGACAGCAACTTACATGTACAAGGAGTCCTTGATTTATGACCACAATCACGGGCAGAATTTCTGTTGCTAAACAAGGCGTTGCCTTGCATCCAATTCCACAACCTTTTGCCCCAGTTGTTAAGTAAAACATGGGGTTCTGAAGCGAATCCAGCTTCCTCCGTTGGAAAGGTTACAAATAGCAACCGTGTGAGCCTGGAACACGGCAACCCTTGTAAATATATGCCAGTTGCCACAATACTCAAATGTTGCTCACATGACCACGGGGAGGCTGCACTGGTGGTAAAGGCGAGGACCTGGTCCTACGTCACTTTTTTCAGTGATGTTGTAAGTGAATGAATGGTTGAGTCAAGGACCGCATGTAAATACTTGCCACAAGCAACCAACCGATTGGGTTTCACTGCTATATTTTGTCCAAACCAAAGCAGAGCCAAAAGAAACCGACAACTGACACCACTTACCAATCCGCTACTCAAGACGTAGAAATCATCACCGGAAAAAATAGTGCCAGGATACGAAGAGAAAGCTTGGGTGTGACCGGGAATTGTGGTATCACCTGAAGAACATAACGCAAACATCCTGTCAGCACCCACATATTCTAGCCACCTTCCCCTTCACAAAATACAGGTAGTGTTCAGTCACTGCTTAAGTAAGGTTTCCTGTTTGAGCAGGGGGCTGGACTAGAAGACCTCCAAGGCCCCTTCCAGCCATTATTATTCTTTGTTCTAAACGTTTCGCTTTTTTCAATTTTCCACACTTTTTACTCACCGTGAGGTAAAGTCCGGAATGGCAAGGTATACTTTTTGAGAATGCGCAACATGGCTTCGTAGTTATTCCAGGTGACATGTGAGACAAGGAGATCATGATTGCCAGGTAAAAGTTTGATCAGAGCTGAACAGGAGCCAGAACCAAGATGATCCTCCTTTTTAGGTTTATTGAAGGCCGATTCCAGATCTTCCAGATCCCCACCCAGCTGGAACAAGCTAAAAAGAAAGAATCCCAGAATCGCATGGCTGAAAGAGACCCTGGAGGTCTTCTAGTCCAGCCCCCCACCCAAGGCAGGAGACCTTATTCCATCCCAGAAAACAAGAGTCTTCCTTCACTTATCAGGGAGGGAATAATGTTGGCTTATCTTTTAGGATTCAGATTAAAAAAATATCTAAACAAGCTTACATAAAGCAGAATGGTCATTGCAGATAAGCTGGATTAGAAAGATTGGTCTAGTGCAGTGGTTCTCAACCTGTGGGTCGGGACCCCATTTGGGGTCGAATGACCATTTCACGGGGGTCACCAAACCATGCTGTCCGCCATTTTTTTCCCTTTTCCCTAGCTGTCCTACTCCCTCTTATTGGTGGCCACACCCACTTGGGGGTCACCACAACATGGGGAACTGTATTATGGGGTCACAGCATTAGAAAGGTTGAGAATCACTGGTCTAGTGGTTAAGACCATAGATTAGAAAGCAGAAGGTTGTGAGTTCAAGTCCCGCCTTAGTATGAAAGCCAGCTGGGTGACTTTGGGCCAATCACAGGAAGACTGAGGTCTAGTCCCGCCTTAGTGTGAAAGCCAACTGGGTGACTTTGGGCCAATCACAGGGAGACTCTGAGTTCTAGTCCCGCCTGAGCCACGAAGGCCAACTGCGTGACTTTGGGCCAGTCCCCCTCATTCAACCCAACTTACTTCGCAAGGTTGCTGTCTGGGAAACAGGAGGAGGGCAGGAGTATTAGGTATGTTCAACGCCTTGCATTGTTTATAAAATAAATAATAAAGGTGGGATCCAACTGAACAAATAGTCTTAAAACAAATCAGTAAGGTAGATCTTCTCAAAGGTAGATTATTCCAAAGTAGGAATAATCAGAAGGATTATCCTAAGAAGAAACTGTATGTACACAATAGAGGTTTCCAAGCGTGAATTAAATCCATGGCTCCTGTCCCTCTAAAATATTTAATAACAGAATGACAGAGAAGAGTTGGAAGGGACCCTGGAGGTCTTCTAGTCCAACCCCCTGCTCAAGCAGGAAACCCTATTTCAGACAAATCTTGTCTTAAAAGCCTCCAATGATGGAGCACACATAACCTCTGGAGGAATGCTGTTCCACTAGTAAATTTTTCTCGCCGTCAGGAAATTTCTCCTTAGCTCTTAGTTTACTTTGTCTCCTCCAATTAAGCAAAATATTTTTCTGCCTAGTTGTCCATTTGCAGCCTGCCCTGCTTGTTTATGCAATCCCAAATTCCCGGAAAGTTTTCAGGGCAAGGAGAAGGATGCTTCTGACCCAGTGTGTCTACTTAAGGCTCCATCGTTATCTTGGAAGCGATAAGCCTTTAGATCAACACGAGCAACTTTTAGGCCATCTCCAAGTTCAAGAGAGGCTACAATCTGCATGCAACAACAACAAATTCATCACCCAGAACACCGAACATAGAATAACAGGGTGGAAGAGACCTTAAAGGTCTTCTAGTCACAATCCCCTGCCCATGGCTGGAGATCCTACACCAGGGGTCTTCAAACTTGGCCCTTTGATGACTTGTGGACTTCAACTCCCAGAATTCCTCAGCCAGCGTGCACGCTGGCTGAGGAATTCTGGGAGTTGAAGTTCACAAGTCATCAAAGGGCCAAGTTTGAAGACCCCTGTCTTACACCATTCCAGACAAATGACTATCTTGTCTCCTCCCCCGTTTTAGCCCAGTGGTGTCCATCCTTGCCAACTTCAAGATTTGTGGACTTCAACTCCCAGAATTCCCCAGACAGGCATACTTCCTCCCCTTCCTCTCTGCCTTTCGAAAGGGACTTACAGAAAGCCGAAGGAGGCGACAGAGAATCTGCCGGTCGGGAAAGAAATTTGACCACTGTAGCCGTCTTCAAGACCTTTCAACTGCAGCAGAACAAGGCGAACCTGGACATTTGGATGGGCAACACAGAGACATCATTCACAGGAGATAGCCTTGAAGAAAACACGCTTCTGGAGGCAGGTGGTTCCACTGGTTGATTGTTCTAAGTGTCAGGAAGTTTCTCCTTAGTTCTAGGTTGCTTCTCTCCTTGCTTAGTTTCCACCCATTGCTTCTTGTCCTGCCTTCAGGCGCTTTGGAGAATAGCTTGACTCCCTCTTCTTTGTGGCAGCCCCTGAGATATTGGAACACTGCTATCCTGTCCCCCCTCGTCCTTCTCTTCATTAAACTAGACATCCCCAATTCCAGCAACCGTTGCTTCTGTTTTAGCCTCCAGTGCCCTGATCCTCTTTGTCGCTCTTCTCTGCACTCTTTCTAGAGTCTCAAGCTGGAGTCCCTTCCAACTTTATTATTATTATTATTATATATACCTGATACCAATAGACAGAGTCCATCCCTGCCTCTTCAATCTGTTCCTCCATCCAATTCAAGTTGGCTTCGAGGTAATTTTTCAACTTTTGACAGTAGTTCGTCTGGTAGGTGAAAGGCCCACAGTAGCTAACCATGGTGTTCATCCAATGCATGTACACCAGCTGTTAACACATGAAATTAAAAAAAGGACATTGACAAGGCTAAATGTACATCCTGAGGTTTCAGAGTCTCCCCCCTTCTCCTCCTCCTCCTCCTCCTCCAGGTTTGGATGTATCTGCCAGTCCCTTCCCCAGACTAAATGTGGGAAAAGCTACAACATGCGCCGGCGTGAGGCACTAGGGTTTATATTTAACTCAACTGCAGCTTGTTCTCATTGTGAGCTTACCTGCGCAGACACCGTGGCTTCAGCCACCCCGGCTGCATAAGCCTGAATGCTGTCATTATATTTCTCATTGGTGGTTAATTCCAGCGCTGCCCAGCTGGGAAGGAGAGAGGAAAAGAAGGCCACCAAGAAGTTAAAGAAAAGGATGCATTTCTCTTATTATCCTCTCCTGGTGCTGCAAAGGTATGTTTCAAGTTTCCAGTCCTCAGTGTGAAAAACCTGTCTTTTCAATGCTCACTGCTGTATTCCAAGTCTTCCCATGTTGGTGTGCGTCTGTGTTGTTCTCTTTTCTCAACTGTCTTTCCTGGCACAGCAACCGCATTTTTGCTTGCGTGCTTTCCTACACGGCCCTCCCCTTTGCACTTTGGGTTGGTTTGCAAGCTGCTAGTCCTCAGCATGAAAATTTGCCTGTTCACTTCTCCCTACTGTATAAAAATCTGTCCCTTTACTTTCATAGCACAGTAGTAACCCCCTTAAAATTTCTGACCAAGTCTTTCCACATGCATCCAGTTGTTTTGTGTTTCTCTCTCTCTCTCTCTCTCTCTCTCTCTCTCTCTCTCTCTCTCTGTGTGTGTGTGTGTGTGTGTGTTTCTCTTCTCTCACTTGTCTGTCTCTTGTCTCTTGTCTCTCCTGGCACAGTAACCATATTTTGCTTGCCTACTTTCTACGTGGCCTCGCCAATACACTTTGCGTTGACCTCAAGCTTCTAGCCCTCAGTGAGGGATCATCCCTAAGGAACCCTATTGAACCGCTGGGGTTTCTTCCCCCTCTCTGCTGCTAATCAGTCCCTTTTGACATCTTCCCCTCTTCTGTTGAGTCATGCCTCCAACTTTCCTCCCTTCAAATCCACATTCAAGGTTTTATCTCTCAAAATGTCCCTGGATTCTTTCTTTATCCAGCACACCTTATCAAGCCTTTTAACTTTTGAAACCATTGTCCCTGGACAAAACGGCCTCGAGGAACACATCTGCACATAAATCTCGCCCAGTTAATTTTTAAGGAACTGCAATAACACAGGAAGTGCATCAGGAGTTGCTGAATCAAAGTTTTCTCTAGCTTAAGGAGCAGGAAGATAAGAAGGTTTGCCCATTCCCCCCCCCCCACCCGACCTGAACTACAACAACAGGTTTTGTCATCCAAACCAGTTATCCCATGAAGATATGGATTTATAGGATATTGAAGAGGGAGAGGATATTTTGGGGAACAGGAATGGCCTTTATATATAGGTAGTCCTTGACTACCTATTTGCAACAAGATTCTGCTAGGCAAAAGGATGGAAGAATCAGGATATGCCCACGGTGGAAGAATAGATAGTGAAAATAGCTAGCGAAAATGTAAGAAATGAATAAATAGCCCCCCCCAAAAAAGTCTTTTCTTGAAAGGCCTTATAGGATGTTTGCTGAAAGAAAAACAACATGAGATCATAATTTATGGATTTGAAAACGAAGGGCTCAGTTTTAATTGTGAGTCTCAATGCTAAATGCTAAATTTTAATTGCAAGCCGCCCAGAGAGAATGGGTGGCAGAAAGAAGGAAGAAGGAAGGAAGGAAGGAGGGAAGAAGAGACTTGAAAAGTGTTTATGAGAGAGACAATAATCATGTAATTATCAGGTGGGGGGGGGTGACTGAAGGTTCTGACCCCCCAGCCTGCCCATCATCTTGGTTTTTTTACTTTTTTAACTTTTTAGTCTAAGTTTATTTAAAAAAAACAACAACTTTTTATCATACTGTAAGCAGCTGGAATCGTGGTATGAGTCAGATGGGTGGACTGAAATTTACTAAATCAAAAATTAACTCCAGAAATCTGTTGAAAAAAAAAAGAGAAGTCTTTTCCCCCCCCCTCTATACCTCTCTTAATTTTCTGGATCTTCTGTCTCTCTCCCCCCCCCCTTTGGGGCTTGTTATTGTCATATGAAAATGATCGGTCCACCCCACCGCTGGAGACTTTCCGAAAAGAGACAGGACAGCTATCGGTCTGAAATTGGTGGGCTGGACTAGATGACCTCCAAGGACCTTCCAACTCTTGTCATTCTGCGATTTCTTTGGGGGGGGGGGAAAGCAGGACGGACGCCTCGCCAGGTCACAACGGGGGAAGCCTTCCGCGGAGCCCCCCCCTTGCGCCTCTCCCCCTACCCAGGACCCCAGGAAGGGGGAGGAGGGGGGGGTCCCTGGTCCCTACCCGTTCTCGCGGATCCCGTCGGTCAAGTTGGCCCAAGCGACGGCGGCCGGTGCCCAGCCCTGGACCACTTTCAGCTGCCCCGACACCGGGTCCAGCAGCACGGAGCAGCCGTCGGTGGGTCCCGCGCCAGGGCTGGGGAAGTAGCGCGGGGGAGAAAGAGCGCAGAGCGTCCGGAGCAGCAGAAGCGGCAGGATTCGCACCGGGAGCCGGAGCCGCGCCATGGTCCGAGCGGTTCTTCCCGGCGGGACGAGTGCCAGGCCCGCCCGCGTAGGCTCTGATGCAGCCGGAGGAGGAGGAGTCCCCGCCGCGGGGGGAACCCAGGAGCGGCCGCTGGCCGTGCGCTTCCCACGGCCGCCCCGCGAGGGAGCCCCAGGCTCGGGAAGGCGGCCGTGGCTGCAGGCTGGGCGAAATCGGAGGGGTGGATGGCGAAGTTTGCAAGGCTTGAGTTCGGATCTCTCCTGGAAAAAGCACCTCTGGGACAACCCTGACCTGGATGAGGGAGGATCTCCATCATCTCTATTCTCTTCTTCATCCTTCTTATTCTATTCTATTCCTCATTCTATTCTATTCTATTCTTTTTCTTCATCCTTCTTATTCTATTCTTCATCCTTCCTATTCTATTCTATTCTATTCTACAATCTATTTATTCTATTCTGTTCTTCATCCTTTCTATTCTATTCTATTCTATTCTATTCTATTCTATTCTATTCTATAATCTATTTATTCTATTCTATTCTTCATCCTTTTTATTCTATTCTATTCTACAATCTATTTATTCTATTCTGTTCTTCATCCTTTCTATTCTATTCTATTCTATTCTATAATCTATCTATCTATTCTATTCTTCATCCTTCCTATTCTATTCTATTCTACAATCTATTTATTCTATTCTATTCTTCATCCTTTTTATTCTATTCTATAATCTATTTATTCTATTCTTCATCCTTCTTATTCTATTCTATTCTATTCTTGTCCAATCTTTTCTTAAAAGCCTCCAGTGATGGAGCATCTACAATTCCAGGCAAGCTTCTTTCGCTGATTATTTGTTCTCCCTGTCTGGAAATCCCTCCATATTTTCAGGTTGGACCCCTCTCCGATGGGCTTCCACTCAGTGCTTCTTGTCCTCAGGTGCTGCAGCGAATAAATCAATCCCCTCTTGCCTCTTCAAAGATTGGAACATGGTTATTGGGTCTCCCCGAAGCCTCTTCTTTGTGAGGCTAGACTTAATTCCCTTAGCCCAGGGATTTTCCATCTTGGTCCTTGTATGGCTTATGGACTTCAACTCCCAGAATTCCTCAGCCATGCATCCTAGCTGAGGAATTCTGGGAGTTGAAGTCCACAACTCATACAAGGGCCACGTTGGAAGACCCGTCTTAAAGCATCCTGGCTGAGGAATTCTGGGAGTTGAAGTCCACAACTCATACAAGGGCCACGTTGGAAGACCCGTCTTAAAGCATCCTGACTGAGGAATTCTGGGAGTTGAAGTCCGCAAGTCATACAAGGGCCACGTTGGAAGCCCCCTGCAGTTAAGGGGTCTGCAGAATCTCCGCTGGGTCTGTGCCAGGGACAGGAGGAGACAGCAGCAGCCGCAGGCTACCAATGTCAGGCAGATGCAAACAAACCATCTTGCAAAGCGCTGCGCTTACCAACACAATAGGAAGCAGAGCAGTTCCCAAAGGGATTGCAAAGGACAGAAGTACAATTCCACAGAGTAACAAAGGTTTTTTTTTTTTTTTTTTTTTTTTAATATTTACAGCAGTATTCTAGCTCTCTAGCCCTCAAGCCCGGCAAGCAGCAGGTCTTCCCGGCAGCTCCAGGAAAGCAAAAGCAAAAGAGATCTTGCAAAAATCGCCCAATCTGCTGCGGCCACGTGACCAGGCAAAAAAAAAACCACTTCCGGCTTCTCCTCTCCGAGCCACGTGGCTGCAGAGGCGCTTTTGGTGGCGGTTTTGCACGTCTAACAGTGAGTAGCCTTTCTGAATTAATTCTTTTTTATGAAAACTGCTTAAATAAACGTTCATACTTGGGGGAATTATCTGTATATAGCCATTCGTGTTAAAATTAAAAATAAGTCCCACTTGAATAACTGCACCTGCTTTTAATTAAACAGCCAGTTGCATGTCCGTTGCATTTAAACATGGAGACCTTGTTGAAGAGCCACTGATAGACTCCAGGGCTCCGTTTTTTTCCAGACACCCAGTGGAAAGGTTTTTAAAATAAAATAAAATAAAATAAACTCCTAGGGTTTTACTTTGCGTTTGTTCCAATTTACTGTGCACTTGAGTAACCGCACCTGCTTTTAATTAAACGGCCAGTTGCATTTAAACATGGCGACCATTTTGAAGAGCCACTGATGGACTCTGGCTCCGTTTTTTTCCAGGCACCCAAGGGAAAGGTTTTTTAAAAATAAAATAAAATAATCTCCTAGGGTTTTACTTTGCATTTATTCCAATTTACTGTGCACTTGAATAACTGCCCCCTGTTTTTAATTAAACAGCCAGTTGCATGTAGCTGCATTTAAATATGGAGACCTTGTTAAAGAGCCACTGATGGACTCTGGGGCTCCCTTTTTTTCCAGGCACCCAGTGGAAAGGTTTTTTAAAAAATAAAATAAACTTGCCTGTGCGTGCGCAGAGGCAGAGGAGAGCGCATTGAGATCAGCTCTGAAAGCATCTTGAAAGCCTGGTGTTTTCTCTCCCTTCCTTTTATGCCAAGGGTAGCCTAGTTAAATTTCATTCTGATGTGGTCTTGTTTCTTGAGCTGACCTCCCATTTTGCTAACCATCTCTATCTTCCCGAAGGTCAACCTTAGGTTGGTCTATTGCCATTTCTCTTTCAAATGGCTGGGATTTTATATTTGATTGGATTGTCTTCCATGGGGGATGTAAGTGTGCTAAGATACCACACCTTCACATAACTGGCTTCCACGGCTACACAAAGGATGTTGCTTGGAAGCAACATGAATTCCTTGCTCGTAGGACCTGGGTCCTTGGTTTGGCTCTGAGGATGCACTGAGGACTTTCTCAGATGGGTGTCTTTCCACTCTGGATTTTAATGCCACAATCATAAAGGTTGGGTAGCTGTGCCCAGGTCTGACACAACACAGGCCAACTTTAGAAGCAACTACACTGAGCATTTCAGAAGATGGAGATCCCCCAAGTAATATTGGAAAACCTGAGGAGGAGAAACGATGAAGAGCTTGGCTAAGGTCTTGGTGCCTTCAAGGGGGATTCATCTTGATCCTCATGTCAGTTTCTTTCATTCACTAATCTTTGTCAAGAGCACGATAGAAGAAAATTAGAGATGGTGCCAAACATAGATTTCCAGATGCTGTTGGACCACAGCCCCCAGCATCCCTTACTCTGGCCTGAGGCTGCTGGGAGTTGTAGTTTAGCAACATCCGGACAGGTTTTCTGCCTCTGCTACTGTTTTGTTCTTTGTATTCATTATCTGTCTGTCTGTCTATCTATTTATCTATCAATCTATCTCATCCATCCATCTCTATTTCATCTATATCTTTTCTTTATCCACCTTTTCTCTCTTTCATCTGTGTATCTCTCTTTTGTCTATATCTTCACATTTTATATCTCTTTATCTCATCTATATTTCACCTGCTTATCCATTGGTCTAGCCATCTCTTTATATCTCTTCTCTGTTTCATCCCTCCCCCCCTCTTTCCCTCCCTGCAATATCTTTTTTTGTTTGTAATCCATGGAGAAAGGTGGTGGTATTATATGTATCATAAATAGAAAAAAACGCTTTTTGTAACATAACTGCTGCTAAAAGTGAAATGAATGCAGCAGAGCCATCATATACCCATTCGAATAAAAATACTCGTGTGTGATATCTCACTGGTTGAATAATTTGAGAGACGTTATCCAGTGTGTTAAGTTTTCCTTCTCCCTCCTTGCCTCTTTTTCCTTACGTTGTGTCATCCTGACTATAAATGTACAGGCCAAATGATATAAAAAAGACTTGCAGAAATATTAGCAACTTTATTAATAAAAGTTCACAAACCTTCATGCAACCCATGTAAAAAACAGGCAGGCTTTGACTTTTTTGTGACTTTTTTCCCCCTTCCAAGTGCCCCCTGGAGTCTTGTGTAAAGAAAAAAAAAAATACAGCCTCTTTTATTCCTTTTTCTAATTAATAAATACAAAAAAAGAAAGCACCAAATTCTAAAGGGACAAGCTAAAAAAAAAATATGAAAACATGCAGGATATATATTTACAGGACGTCTATATCCATAAATGGAAGTGATGATTCATTACAGACTTTCATAGCTAATCTATATTCATCAATTGTGCAAACCACAGAATAGTTGCAGCCATATGTTTGTCTTTCCCGGCCTGGCCTTGTGGCTTCTCAAGCATAGGAGCCAGAACGGAAGATGGGAATCCCAACTATCTTCGGCTCTGTAGGAGTAGACAACCCTGGTGCCTGTTTGCTCAGTGGGCTATTTCATCTCAACTTGAAATTGGAGAAAGATGTTATGAACGTTACAAGGGTGGTAGGGTTAGGTTAACTGGCCCAAGGAAAGCAGAAAAGAGTCCTCCTTAAGGGAGGAGGGCAAAAGGTTCACAAGAGGAAGCCACCTCAGGCAGGACCAAGCAAAGGTAGGGGAGTCCATGCATCCCCTTTGGAGTGAATCTCTCTCCCACCAGCTATTTTTGGGAAAAATCTAAGGCCAAGTCATTCTGGAATGTAACATTTGCTCCTTTTTGAAGTACGACTGAAGATTTGCAAGATCAGAAATTGTCTTCTCTAACTCTTGTTTTTTTTTTTTTTTCCTTCTGACGCCAGATATGGGAAGGAATCAACATAGAGACCAAGATGCACATTTGCTTCCTGACGCTGGAACCCATGGCATTCTGCTGCTGACGGCGGTGGAATAGCTACAACTGGGTGGTGGGAGGCTTTGGAGATAGCTGTGAGCTTGTTTGGGTGGGTGGGAGGGCCACATGTCTCTTGGAACAACTGCCACGGATCCACGAAGTTCAGACTCATCTGGACCAGCCACATGGATTCCCATCTTGAGTTGAAGACCAACCTTCCAGTGTCCAGTAAAAGGACCTCTGCTTTGATGCAATGTTGTAATGCTTGATATATTTGTGCAGTTGTTGTGTGTTTTACTTCTAGCTTCTTGGGCTGTTATAAAATCCCAAACACCAAAAGGTGCCATTATAAAGGGGTGCCCATGGTAAGCTAGCTTTCGGGGCAAATGGCTATATATATTACAGGTAGTCCTTGACTTAATGCCCACATTTGAGTCCAGAGTTTCTGTTGCTAAGCGAGGCATTTTGTTAA